CGGAGTATTGATAAAGATGATCATATGACTAATGATCCACCTAAAGATGATTCGAAAAAGACATGGCTCCGTGATGATGCTCGGTTGATTCTACAAATACGAAACTCTATTGACGATGAGGTACTTGGCCTAATTAATTATTGTGAGTTTATTAAAGAATTGATGGATTATTTGGAGTTTCTGTATTCTGGAAAAAGGAATGTTCCTTATATTTATGAAGTGTGTAAGGCATTCTACCGTGCAGAGAAACAAGATAAGTCCCTTACAGCTTATTTTATGGAGTTTAAGAAGACTTATGAAGTGTTGAACATATTGTTACCCTTCAGTGCTGATGTAAAGGTTCAACAAAAACAATAGGAGCAAATGGCAGTCATGAGTTTTCTTGTAGGTCTTCCTTTTGAATTTGAGACTGCCAAGTCTCAGGTTCTAGCCAGTCCAGAGATCTCTTTGTTGCAGGATGTCTTTAGTAGGGTACTTCACACAGAAGGTACCCTACTAGTTCAGTTCAGTGGTGCTCCCGTCAGTGAAAAAGAATGACTATGAATCTAAACGATCACAATTTGGAAATGACAACAAAAGAGGTGGGTCAAATAGTAATATGGGAGGAATTGTGTGTCACTATTGCCATAAGCCAGGACACATGAAGCGTGATTGTAGAAAGCTTCAAAACAGAACTAAAAGAAATCCCTCTGCCTATGTTGCATCCACCAATGATACTTCTTATCAGTCAGTTCTCATCTCTGCAGATGAATTTGCCAAGTTTTTATTGTATCAGGAATCATTAAAAGCTTCATCTACTCCTATCATGGCTATGGCCGACTCAGGTACGCCAAATACATGTCTCCTTTCCTCATCTTCCAAATTCGTCATTGACTCTGGTGCAACAAATCACATGTCAGGTAATCCCAGTCTCTTTGCTACTTATCAATCAAAAACCCTTTCAAATGTGACTTTAGCAAATGGGTCACCATCCTACGTTCTTGGGTCTGGCACAGTTACCCCTACCCCACAACTTCCCTTGTCAAATGTCTTATATTTACCAGATTTTTCTTTCAATTTAATTTCTGTTAGCCAACTTACTCGTGCTCTTAACTGTTGTATTTTATTCTTTCCCGATTATTGCATGTTTCAAGATCTTACGACGAAGAAGATTATTGGTAAAGGACATAAATCTGGAGGTTTATATATTCTTGACAGACCAAAATCTACACCTATCGCTTGTTCTAGTGTTGCATCCCGGTTTCAAGCACATTGTCGTTTGGGCCATCCATCTCTTCCTTCACTGAAAAAATTGTGTTCTCAGTTTAATAAAATGTCTACATTAAAGTGTGAGTCATGTCAGTTTGCTAAATATCATCACGTCAGTTCTAGTCCTAGAGTCAATAAAAGAGCTAATTCTCCATTTGAATTAGTTCACTCTAATGTTTGGGGTACCTGTCCAGTTCTGTCTAAAACTGGTTTTAGATATTTTGTTACATTTGTAGACGATTACTCTCGTATGACTTGATTATTCTTAATGAAAAATCATTCTGATTTATTTTCTTATTTTTGTGCTGAGATTAAAATTCAATTCAATGTTTCTATTCATACGTTGTGCAATGATAATGCAAAAGAATATCTGTCAGTTTCTTTTCAAAATTACATGACTCAGAATGAGATTCTTCATCAAACTTCATGTGTTGATACTCCATCTCTTCTTTCACTGAAAAAATTGTGTCCTCAGTTTAATAAAGTGTCTACATTAGAGTGTGAGTCATGTCAGTTTGCTAAATATCATCATGTCAGTTCTAGTCCTAGAGTCAATAAAAGAGCTAATTCTCCCTTTGAATTAGTTCACTCTGATGTTTGGGGTCCCTGTCCAGTTCTATCTAAAACTGGTTTTAGATATTTTGTTACATTTGTGGACAATTACTCTCGTATGACTTGGTTATTCTTAATGAAAAATCATTCTGATTTATTTTCTTATTTCTGTGCTTTTTGTGCTGAGATTAAAATTCAATTCAATGTTTCTATTCATACGTTGCGCAATGATAATGCAAAAGAATATCTGTCAGTTTCTTTTCAAAATTACATGACTCAGAATGAGATTCTTCATCAAACTTCATGTGTTGATACTCTTATCTCAAAAGGGAATAGCAGAACAGAAAAACAGACATCTTCTTGACACTGCTAGAGCCTTATTATTCTAAATGAATGTTCCTAAACCATTCTGGGCTGATGCAGTTTCCACTGCCTGCTTCTTGATTAACCGCATGCCGTCTTCTATCCTTCACGGTGAGACCCCGTATAATATTCTTTTTCCTAACAAAACAGTATTTCCTCTTAAACCTAGGATATTTGGTAGGATTTGCTTTGTTTGGGATGTTCGACAGTCAGTCACTAAATTAGATCCCAAGTCATTAAAATGTGTCTTTCTTGGTTATTCTCGACTTCAGAAAGGATATCGATGCTATTGTCCAAGTCTTAATAAGTATCTTGTTTCCATTGATGTTGCCTTTCTAGAAGAAAAACCATACTTTCCATCTTCTCCTGCAGATCGTCAGAAGGATGATGATGATGATGATTTGTTAGTTTATACCTTCACCACCCCTACGCCTATATCTTAACCAGCTCCTGTCTCTGACCCTATCACTATTCATGCGCTTCCCACATCTACTCCTATCTTTGATCCTGCTCCTGTCAAAGTCTACTCTCGTCGTCCACCTCCTCCTGCTTCATGTCTAGCACCCACTTCTTCGTCATCAGATCCAGTTTCAAGTGATGATCTTCTCATTGCATTGCGAAAAGGTAAACAGCAGTGTACTTATCCTGTTTCTTCTTTTGTTTCTTATGATCATTTGTCACCTTCATCATGCTCCTTTATTGCTTCCCTTAATTCTAATACTATCCCTAAAACTGTTCATGAAACCCTTTCTCATCCTGGTTGGCGTAATGCGATGATAGAGGAGATGAATGTCTTAGATGACAATGGTACTTGGGAATTGGTAGATTTACCTTCAGGGAAACAGGCTATTGGATGCAAATGGGTGTTTACAGTTAAAGTTAATCCAGATGGGTCAATTACTCGGCTAAAAGCTTGTCTGGTTGCTAAAGGATATGCTCAGATCTATGGAGTTGATTATTCTGATACTTTTTCCCCTGTTGGTAAGTTAACCTCTATTCGGCTGTTTATCTCTATGGCAACTACTTATGATTGGCCTTTGCATCAGCTAGACATCAATAATGCTTTTCTTCACGGAGATCTTCAGGAAGAGGTATATATGGAGCAACCTCCTAGGTTTGTTGCTCAGAGGGAGTATAGGAAAGTATGTTATCTTCGCAAATCTCTGTATGGTTTAAAACAGAGTCTTCGTTCTTGGTTTGGAAAGTTTAGTTAGGCTGTTGAGAGATTTGGTATGCTAAAACGTAAAACTGACCATTTTGTTTTCTACAAATGGTCTGAAACTGGCATCATTCTTCTAGTTATGTATGTAGATGATATTGTTATTATTGGGAGTGATAGTGTGGGCATCACATCTCTTAAGTCTTTTCTCCATACCCATTTCCACACAAAAGACTTAGGGATGTTGAAGTATTTCTTGGGGGTTAAAGTTACAAGAAGTAAACGAGGTATATTCCTCTCTCAGAGGAAATATGTGCTCGACTTATTAACTGAGACATGTTAATTTGTGGCAAAGCCATGTTGTGTTTCGATGGTTCCTAATGTGCAGCTTACGAAAGATGGTGAACTATTTGGAGATCTTGAGAAATATAGAAGATTGGTCGGGAAGTTGAACTATCTTACGATGACTCGTCCAGATATTGCATATTCAGTACGTGCTGTCAGTCAATTTATGACCTCCACAACAGTTCATCATTGGACAGCTTTGGAGTAGATCTTGTGTTATTTGAAAAGAGCTCCTGGATGTGGTATATTATATGCCAATCATAGTCACTCTCATATTGAATGTTTCTCAGATGCAGATTAGGCAGGTTCCAAGGTAGATAGAAGATCCACATCATGCTATTGTGTCTTTGTCGGAGGAAAATTAATATCATGGAAGAGCAAGAAGCAGAATATCGTGTCACGATCAAGTGCAAAGTCAGAATATAGGGCTATGGCACAAGCTGTTTATGAAATAATGTGGATATATCAACTCCTGACTTAAATAAGCCATGAAACTTCAGTACCAGCAAAATTATGGTGTGATAACCAAGCGGCTCTTCATCATGTCAACTACAGCAAGGTTTGATTTCCACTGGGTACGTGAAGACTGGAGAACAATTGAGAGATATCTTCCAAAGGCTCTGACTAGGATTCGAGTTGATTATCTTTGTAACAAGCTGGGTACGATTAATATCTATATTCCAGCCTGAGGGAGAGTGTTACAGATGTATATTTGGTAGTTATCGGTTATATATATTTAAAAATTAATTTCCAGGGTTATAGGGATCACATTGATATTGTATCCTAATATAGATTGATCACATACCTAGTTTAGAACACTGCAAGTGTATATATATATATGTGTATTCTTTTTCTCTATGAAAAAGACAAGTAGAATATTCATTCTTAATACTTGTTACAGGATTAATTTCTTGGGACTGGACTGAATTAATTTGGATAAGATTAGATAACAAATAAGTACCAAACAGCCCCAAACGTTTTTGAAAAACTGGCAACTTCTTTCTTTGTGTTTTGTGTCTTTGGTTATGATTAAGGGTAGGATGACACTATTGAGTTAGAAAAAAAAAAAAAAAAAAAAAAAATTGGGGCTTCTTCTGCTGTGACTCTGTCGTTTCTATATGTTGCATGATTATGAGATGAATTAATTTTCAAGCTCCAAAACCAAACAAATTTCTTCACAGTTTTCAAGTTATATAAGAGAGACATGCCTGGTATGTAAAACTGACTGAACCAGCCATCCTCCATGTGAGGACATAATAAGGAAAAAATAAATAAATTGCACGTAAGACATGTAAGGGGGGAAAAAGAGCACTCATTTACAATGGATTAAGGCTTACCTCAAAAGATTTGCCAAAGTTCGTTGGCCAATAGTCAAAAAACTAGTCTCCTGATTGGACGTGAAGGAAGCAAGTGATGAAACACTGTAAAATAGAAAAAAAGAAATAGCATATATAAAAATAGTTGCCCATAGTTTGTGTAATTTTTCTTTCTATGCCAACTTGTTTGAGCCAAGTGACAATACTGATTGAGATCAAATTTAATTTATAGATATATATGTTAGGCTGACAACCTTCCAGTAAAAATATGCTCCCTTAGACCCAATATCGTAGGTTTTTGCTGCCCTGAAGAATCTAAGAATTCCTCTAATACATTTCTCATCTTGAAAGCCTCCTCAAAGTAATTATCCTGAAGAATTGAAGGCAGAAACACTTAGTCACTTTATAGTGAACCTTCAAAATAAGGCAAGAGGAGAAAGAAGCTACCTGATTCATGTCTATGGTCTGTAGGGCTTCTCCACGAGTGAAAATAATGGCATGATTTTGATTTTCGGCTTTTCCTTCACCAATTACTGTTGGAGGTCCTGGAAGCTTAATCCGATATATCTCCTATTAATTTAAGCAGTAAACAAAGAATTTTAAACAAGATTTTGTAATAAAAGATGGGAAAACAGAGCAGAAACATTGACATTATCCTTTACAATCAGATAATGGCAATCTTTTTCTGTCCAATCTAGTAAAAGAAATTGATGACCTTTAACTGTGTCATCTCTCCACTTGGGAAGGAAAATTTCTTTCTTTAGGCATTATCCAAAATTGGTTTGCTATAAGTTTAGAAAACAAAATTTTAAATCACATGAATTCTGTATCAAACAAAAATTATTCTTCCTAACCTGAGCCAACTTACTGCTTCCCTTCAAAAGAACAGAGTAATAAAGCTTCTGGAATTTTCCATTCACAATCTCCTCCCTTTCATCTATGTAAGCAACACGCAGGGATGGATACCTATACAACGTCTTCATTAAGAAGCCATCTGCGTTTAAGTTGATGAACTATGACAGTGTACCAGACAATGTGAACTTACGTTACCATGAGATTCAGAATGTTATTGTAACAGCTCTGATCTCTTGCATCATCAGAAGTTTTCATAGCACCATAGATCTGACAGGAAACAACATAAGTGAACTTCATATCTGCCAGAGCTTGTGCAAAGGCCTTCTCATCATCCCCACTTGATTCCAAGGTCTTGTAGCCACCAGGAATTTCTGCCAGGAAATGGTTAACTGATTTATTAATAATTTAATCTCACTTGCCATGCTTTCTACTTACAGAATATTGAAATAAAACAGAGATATTGAATTTGAAACGAATCAAATATCGGTAACAGAAACTACAGACCCCTGTCTCCTGCAATTTCCAGGAAGCATTGCAGTTCTAGAGCCTGCTTGTAGTACATCATCCCTCTCACTGAAAAAAAAATAGAGACATACATATATATATATATATGAAAAAGCGCAAGAAAGTAAAGCTATAGTACAAGACTGCCAGTGACAATTTTCATCATCCAGACCTGTTCTGGAAAGTGTCTGCCCTCTGTAGGATCCCCACTGACGAGTAAACTCCATTTTGGTTTCTTCAGGATAATTCAGTTTTGGATCATTGATACGATGCTGGAAATTGGCCCATTCATCTAATAACACAGGCTGAAAAATATTCACTCAAGTTCTTACCAATTAAATCAATAAAAAGTATGATGCAGCTGTGAATCTTAACTCACCAGGATATATTGTCTTTAGGTAGAACAAAATTGAGATTCCATCCACATTTTCCTTACTTAGTTCTTCAACAGAATATAGAACGTCTTCTTTATAATATGGAGTCAAAACACTATACAATGAATCACAAAAGAAAACATACGTTAAATTAGAGCATCAAATGCCTTCCATTTTCCAAAGACAATAAATCAGAAGACAAGACAGCGCAAAACTTTCATGTGCTTCTGTAGTCATCATTAAAAGGAGAAGCAAATTTGAATACAAGTTCTATACATTAACACAAGAGCTATCAATCCTTTACTTCTAATGTAACCGCAAGCAACTCTAGTCACCATGATTGCTAGTTTACCTGTATTGTATCCCAGTTTCCATCTTACTAGCAAAACTCCTCTTTTTTGGTTAGAGGAAGTTTAAATAAATCATAAACTTAAAACAAATGACTTTTCTTCCAGTTAGCAACTTACACTATTTTAAATATAATGATGTTCTACAGTGAGAAAATTACTGACCTGAAGGAGAGCATGTCACGAACTTTTGGAGCACTGGGCATATCCATAAACAGGGAGTTCACAAAGAAAGTGATACGACGGTGAGCATCCGAATTTCTTGGCATATTTATGGGAGATTCGACTGTCAAAAGAAAAAAGAGCCTACCAACCTACAGACAATTTACAATAAAATAAGAACAAAATATCTCAATATAAAATTGTTTCCAAGATATTTTTAACTAATAAGTAATAGCCAAGAGTGCCTTCTCCATCCAAGATTTGTTCTCTGTAACATGGATATTTATCTTTTCAAATGTCTGGCTTTTCTTGTCAAATTCAGTATGTTGACTGTTTAAGTGAGCACTTTCAAGGATTCTACAGGAAGAAGATGAAAACAAAAGGCATATATTAGTCATGAAGGCTAATCTGTGTTGACAGAACAAAAGAAAGGCCTACATTTCAAAGTTTGTATTCATTAGCACTCACACACTGCCATTAACCATAATATCCTGAGTGATAATTTCCATAATATCCTGGAGGAGAATGATTAACTGAGACTTGCATAACTCATCACTTAGATTAGTAGACAGCTGTTGACAAATAAATTTGAGTACTCAGAACTGAAACATATTAAATGTAGACCATCTGTAAACCAAGACTGCTAAGAAAAGAAACTGAGGAAACAAACAGGAAAAGGTATTACCAAGAATTTTAGAAACTCCTTCAACTTGTAATTAAGTGAAAGCAACCCACTCATGCGAAATTCACTCAAAAACCTCTGCCGCTGGATACTAACATCTACTTCATCACAAATCTGTGTCACAACCCTGTTTCATGGAAGGAAATAGGAAAGAGAAAAGAGATATTCATTCAAAAACCTATGCTACTGTATACTAACATCTACTTCATAACAAATCTGTGTCAAAACCCTGTTTCATATAAGGGAACGGGAGGGAACGGGAGGGAACGGGAAAGGGAAAGGAATTATGATTACAGCAAGCTGGAAATGTGGAGGATTCAGCCTTACTTCCTATCAGCTTCGTCTTCCAGAAGACCACATAATATTTGCCGTAGTATCTCATAACATTCAATTATTGCTGAATGCATATAAGCATCAATCTTTATCTTCTTAAATAACTCAGCATCCTTATTCCCTTTGAAACCTTTTGCCATGTCTATTGCAATAGGAATCTGGCATATGTCAGAAAAAGGAAAAAAGTTGGAAATTTAGATTTAAAAAGTTAACATGAGATATGATTTGGAGGACTTACCTTACTAGCAAGCAGAAAAGCTGGGCACTCGATAACAGATTCTTTTACTGCAAAACATTGCACGAGCAGCAAGTCCCTTCCCCTAGAAAAATAAGACATCAAAGAAAACTTTAAAAGATTATAAATGATGAATTTCATAAAAGGAAAATTTCTATAAACAAGGAGCAGCCTTAACTTATTGCTAAGCAAATCTTCTGTTCGCATGGATTCTATGAATTTATTCCACACCTTAGAAAAATTTGCCAAATTCTTCTGATGTATAGGCTCATCCAGTGAAACATTTACTTTAGCCTGATGACATAGACAATAAAGAAAGGCTCAAAACAACATACATATAGTTTGACCTAAAACCCCAAGATTCATTTTGTGAGCAGGATAAAGGTGGGTCCGGATTGAAAATAACCACACCCTGTTTGGGGAACATAAAGGGTCCCATCCTGTTCGGCAAACATCATGAAATGAGATATAAGGGACGGATAGGACCAGATATATACACCCCTGTAGTTGGAGCCTGTTGCAGGTGAGATTTCTAAACCTACCACCACGGAAAGAAATGTGAGAGAAAGATTAGTGCATTCCCATGACCGTGAAATGCAGACATTGGCACCAGATATAATCCTTGCTCCCTGGCAAGCACCAATGTGTTTTGAATGATTTTTGTGTTTTATTCTTTACTTGTTTTATGTTTCCAAGAAATGTTGGCAATACTCTCTTCATCACTTTTTCACCCTTATCTTTACATGTTTACAAGAGGCAGAAAAACTTGATAATATAATGAAAAAATAATAAGTTTGTTTCTTGTTCATGTTTTAAGAGGAGAGTATTGCAAGAATTTCGCATTTGTTTCCTTGTTATTTGCTTACTGTTGTTATCTCTCTCTCTCTCTCTCTTCATTTTTTTTTTTAAAAAATCCAATATGAGGGTCATACTCAACACTAATCCAGTCACTGTCCACAAACACAAAAAAAAAAAAAAAAAAAGGATTTGAGTTTTATATCTTCCATCACTCATATCCATCCTCTCTGGCAGGCCAAATCCAGTCAGTGTCTATTTTCTCAGAATTTAAGGAAGTTTAATTCTTCTTTATTCTTCAGTTGGAGGCTTTAATAGCCTACTAGAAAGGGTCTTATTGATTCTAGGCTAAGCTTTCATTTGTCTATAGTTTTGAGCTGACTTTTCTCCCTAATAGTTTTTGACACTTTATAGGCTTCAGGACAGCTTGTTTTTTTATTGGTGAACTTGTTTGTTATTTTGTATCTTCTTTTTATTAATACAAAAAAATTTGTTTCCTAGCCAGAAAACAAAAAAAAAAATTGCCTATCTTTCAGTTTAGGATTGATAAAGTGGGCTTGGGTAGAACTCACTTCCAAAAGCTAACTCAAAAGAGGAGGGAGTCCAATCACTTATATACACCATAACAGCCCACTATTAGGGTGATATGGGACAAATTCAACTTCTAACACCCTCCCTCACGCTCAACGTGCAAGGCTGGGGTCCAAACTCATCATCGTTCCAACCAAAGAGGGAAGAGAAACAAACGTGACTCTGATACCATGATAAAGTGGACTTGGGTAGAACTCACTCCTAAAAGCTAGCTCAAGGGAGGAGGGAGTCTAATCATTTATATACACCATAACAGCCCACTATTGGGGCGATGTAGGACAAATTCAACTTCTAACAAGGATGAATGAAATTCATTTGCAAGTAAAATCAATTGAAATTCCAGAAAGTCAAGGACAACAAACATTGATAGATAGTTTTTCATAAGAAACAAGAAATACAAATATTGATGGATCAATAAAAATAAGCAATACCGTATCTTTCTTTTTATCTGCTTTTGATGATGGCACAAGACAATCACAGAGAGCTGAACGAATGGCTTCAAATCTGGACCTCAACATCCCAAGTGTCCGTATCTAAGTAATGCAAAATGTTCAAATAAACACAAGAAAGATTACAAAAGCCTTAGCTAATTCAGATCTTAGTAGAATTGAGTATCAAGACAACTAAGTCTGTATACATCTGGGTTCCAAAGGATCACCATATATTGTATAACCTAGTTTTTCATGATTAAAATGTTTTGCCATGAGAACAATTAGTCACTAACCTCACCCAGATGGCTTAATCCTCCATGAATTACACCAAAAAGAGCAGAAAATATAGCATACCAAATTTGAGCATCCATAAAATAAACCTACACACACATAAAGAAGTATTATAATGGAATAGATTATAAATTAAAAGTGTATTTGTTTGGCTTGTGATTCAAAAATAATTTTCAAAAAATTATCGAGTTTTATTTCAATATTTTTAATGCCTAAAAACTATTTTAGAGTTAAGAAGCATGAGAAATAATGAACAAAACTACTTCATTTTCCAATTTTACACTAGTTTCTATCTTTTTTTTTTTTTTTAAAGTATTTCAACAAAACAAGTTTTCATAGAATCTTTCGAATCCCTTGTTTTCGATTTTATATTTCCAACAGGCCCAACAAACTAAAATGACATAGTGGCATAAAGTTCATCATTGTCAAATGTTCATTTACGGTCCACTTACCAAGATGGTTGGGGTCCATATTGCAATAACAACTCCCACATTATGGGTTACTGCAGCAATTTCAGAAAGTAAGAAATGCTTCAACCAAACACAAGAAGCAAGCAAAAACAGTTCCATCGGAATTACAAAAAGACAAATAGATAAAAGAGTATTATTACCATTGGGAAAGACTTCATGCCACGGGTACTTATCGACATGCATCTCCATAATCAACTTAGTGGGTCTAACTAGTGGCAGTATCTATTAACAGAACAAGTGAAATTATTGCTCAAAAACATCCTGAATATTATTTATTTTCATTCACTTTATTCTCACTAAATTTTCATGATAATAAAAAAGTAAAGACTATCTTTAGATAAAAATTAACATCAAATAAGGTTTCTTAATTTAGTCAGTACTATCTGTTTTCTGACTTGAAAAATTAAAATATAACTACTTTATTATTTTGTCTTTTTTGCTGACAAATATTTTACCTTTAATTTGACTCTAATCTGACAATCTTTCTTCGACCCAAATTAGTTAACAAGAGATTTGGAAAATGAAACATCATAATAAAATTTAAAAAAAAAAAATGATCTGTAGTGAATGAAATAAATAAAAGACCAACTTAGACTAAGAGACAGAAAACCTGTAATCAAATTTCACAAAATTCAAAGGTTCACCAGGTTACTGGGAGTAACCACAGTGTGCATGAAAACTACGTTTTCAACCCTGAATAAAACTATATAATTTAACTAGAAAGATTGCCTCCATTGTTGTCACATGAATCTCACATGATTACAGCCTAAATTACCTAATTTCAAATGCTATGCAAATGTAACCAATCAGTTTCTTTGCATGGCTTCAAAATAACAGCAACTATTTTAGAATGAGATATTGGGAGGAAATGTATGAGCCACTCAAAAATTACATTAGTGCGATGTAAAGCCCTTATTGCTACTGCATGCACCAGCCTTTACCTAAGGAGATAAACTTAAGTCAAGTTGGAGAAGGCAAAAATTCTATCTCATATGGCATATCAGCAAACATTGAGTTGCCTTGACGTAACCTAGCCAGTTATCTTTTTCTGGCCCTTCTATGTTGCATGGACACTCTTATATGTGGTCAGGGTCCATCAATGGCAAGCCACGTTCAAGTTATTTTAAAAATGAGTTGGCACCTCAATAATTCATACATTTGATACACACAGTGTAATGTATGTTGTTTATTATAACACAATGTATCAATATGTTTATGAATGCATTATCACTTTTCCTTCATGTGATTACAAAATATTTTCACTAACAATACAACAAATTTGAACTCATAGGAGTATCATATTCAAAAAACTTTTAGGCAAAAAGAAATCACCTCCACATAATAGCTGAATGCTAGCTTACTGATCAGCAGAATGGTCCAAAATAATGTATACCTGCACATATAAAAATTATTTCTCTTAACCGTTGAAGGACTCATCCAAATCATGCGCCCTCCAAATTAAAAGAAAAAACAACAACGAGAGCATCCTCTTAACTTACTTCAGAAGTGAGAACATGTTCTCATGCATGCCTCTTCCTACATACAGTTTTGGCTGCAGCATGGCAAAATATACAGGGACTCTTGGTCAGTTTACTTAAATCAAAAGGGAAGAAAAGGAAAATATCAGCAATGCCAAGAAGAAAACAGAAGTACATAAGCAAAAAGAATCCAACCTAGATATTCTTACCTGCGCCCACCAGGTAAGAAGTGTGATGATACGCCAGTTCAAACGCTCCATAGTTCTCCCCAAAGATGGGACAAAAAAAATTATGAAAGCCAATAAATTGGGTACCAAATAAATTGCCACAGCATAATTATAAAATGACCAGTTCAGCCAACCCCCAGCCCAATTGCTGAAAATTTTCACAAGTATAGTTGGATTCTGCATGGAACTGGCATAACTAATCAGCAGAACCACCATCCACACAGTAGCTACTGCAAATTTCAGAAGATACCATAGTATCTCAGTAAATGTGAAGCTCATCCAGGCATTATAACTGAGAATTATATCCAAAGCAGCTGTACAGAAGAACAAGAAAGTGATGTTTAATCTACAAAATGCTGTTTAAACAGGTGGTCTGCAGAACCAGTAACTATTGCATTAGCAACTAATTGAAGCTTAAACATTTCCGAAGGCAATGCTATCATATCGCTAGATTTCATTTCGTATGCTTGATTACAAACAGTGCAAACAACTACTTAATACTATGGGGAAAGAAATTAAAATTATTAATCATATATAACCACTACCTTGCAGAAAATTAAGAAAAGCTTGAGTAATGAATATACTCAGAACACTTCTGAATACATCCTCGTCAAATAAAGCAGCTAGAGATCCAGAAGGACTCCATGCAACAATTAGCATAGCCTGAAACCACCACAATTACCAATGCAAGTTAATTTTTGCATAGAATGGTTAAAATGCAAGTGCACATTCTCAAACAGTAAGGCAACCTGGAAAGCCATGATAAAGAATATCCACATTCGGTCAAAACTTCTATAAAGGTGCCAAAATGTGCGGGCTTCAACAAAATTAGTTTTAGGCTTCCTTTTTCCAATGGGGACTTGGCTACCCATCTGTAAACAAAAATGTAAACTTCAACTTAAATCATATGATAAACTTTTATTATAACAAAAAAAAAAAATGCTACTTTATTTAAGGAATTTATAATTGAAGATATAGAACAAGCTACTTCATTTTTTATAAATCATTCACACAATGCATATGTTACATCTAGTTATAGGAAAAAACAGATAACCTTAGCTAGGATTATCTTTGTTTAAGTTTAAACTTAGATTTAAATTCTAGATATTCCTAGATTATTTCTAAGTTCAACCTCTTTATCACTGATTTCCTACACTCCCCCTCAAGCTAGGGAAAAAATATCTAGCATTCCCAACTTGGAAGTTAAGACTATCAAAGAGTGGTCTAGACAACCCTTTTGTAAGAACATCTGCTACTTGCTGACTTGTAGGTAGATAGACAGCACACAAAACTTTCCTTCTATCTTCTGCTAAATGAAGTGATGATCTACTTCCACATGCTTTGTTCGGTCATGATGCATTGGGTTATGTGCAATGCTGATAGCAGCCTTGTTATCACAATAGAGTCCCATAGGATCCTCCTGTCCAACATCCAGGTCTGTCAACAACTGTTTCAGCTGTAGTAACTCACATATACCCTGTGCCATAGCCCTAAACTCAGCTTCCGCACTACTTCTTGCCACGATTGCTTGTTTATTACTTCTCCAAGTGACCAGATTGCCCCAAACAAAAGTACAATACCCCAAAGTCGACCCCCTATTACTTATTGAGCCTGCCCAATCCACATCTGTAAATGCCTCCATCTATCTCTCACAACTCTTCCTAAAAAATAGTCCTTTCCCAGGAGTCATCTTAACATACCTTAATATCCTTTTTACTGCCTCTAAATGTCTCTCCTGTGGTTTATGCAAATGCTGACAAGCAACACTCACTGAGAACACTATATCAAATCTAGTATGAGTCAAAGAAATCAACCACCCAACAAACCTTTGATATCTATCCTTATCCACAGGAGTATTACTACTATTCCCATCAATTCNGTTAGACTATCAAAGAGTGGTCTAGACAACCCTTTTGTAAGAACATCTGCTACTTGCTGACTTGTAGGTAGATAGACAGCACACAAAACTTTCCTTCTATCTTCTGCTAAATGAAGTGACGATCTACTTCCACATGCTTTGTTCGGTCATGATGCACTGGGTTATGTGCAATGCTGATAGCAGCCTTGTTATCACAATAGAGTCCCATAGGATCCTCCTGCCTAACATCCAGGTCTGTCAAGAACCGTTTCAGCCGTAGCAACTCACATATACCCTGTGCCATAGCCCTAAACTCAGCTTCCGCACTACTTGTTGCCACGATTGCTTGTTTATTACTTCTCCAAGTGACCAGATTGCCCCAAACAAAAGTACAATACCCCGAAGTCGACCCCCTATCACTTATTGAGCCTGCCCAATCCACATCTGTAAATGCCTCCACCTATCGCTCACAACGCTTCCTAAAAAATAGTCCTTTCCCAGGAGTCATCTTAACATACCTTAATATCCTTTTTACTGCCTCTAAATGTCTCTCCTGTGGTTTATGCAAACGCTGATGAGCAACACTAACTGAGAACACTATATCAAGTCTAGTATGAGTCAAAGAAATCAACCACCTAACAAGTCTTTGATATTTATCCTTATCCATTGGAGTATTACTACTATTCCAATCAACTCTTGAATTAAGTTCAACAGATGTTTCAGCAGACTTGCATCTTAACATACCTGTATCTTTTAGCAAATCTAAAACATACTTCCTTTGAGACACATAAATTCCCTTCTTGCTCCTAGCCACCTCCATGCCCAAGAAATACCTCAGCTGCCCCAGATCTTTGACCTCAAAAACCCGAGCAAAAGCCTCTTTGAACCTCTCTATTTCTTCAAGACTATACCTAGTAAGAATAATGTCATCAACATACACTATTGAAAATATAATCTTACCATTAACCTTCTTGAAGAATAGGATATGATCGGACTGCCCTTGAGTAAACCCATCATCCTTAATAGCCTTAGTAAACCTGTCAAACCAGGCCCCAAGACTGCTTTAAGCCATACAATGATTTCCTTAGCCTACATACCTTACGAACCTCCTATTTGGTTTCAAAACCTGGTGGTAAATCCATGTAAACCTCCTCAGAACTCAAACACTCTTTCTTTCTCCAACATTTTATTGTATTTTACACTATCTTGAGAGCAGCTCCAGTCAGCCTCAGCAAACAAATCCAACTCTTGCCATAGCTTGGCCGATACACTATAATATTGAGTCACGAACATATTACTTTTTTTGGTCTCCTGCAACTGAGATTTAATCTCAAAATCTGGGCTTAATTTCCAACATCAGAGTACGTCTCCTTTGCTATGTCCCAAATATCTTTCGTTGTAGGTAGAAATAAATACAGCGGGTCAATCTCCGCTTCCATAGAATTAATCAGCCAAGTACCATACTATTCTCGGCATCCCATTTTTGGTATGCCAGATCATCAACCGATGGAGCTTTGATTGCTCCCGTCAAGTAGTCTAACTTCCCACGACTTCTAACAACTAACTTCATCGACTAAGACCATGGGATATAATTCCTACCATTCAATTTATGTACACAAATCTGAATGGAAGAAGAAATGGCTGAATTATCAACAGCAGTCTGAACATTGGATGAAGATGTTTCCCCTGACTGGGAAGTGACTTCCTGACGAACAGGTGGAGGATTCCGACTCCTCTGTACCATGAAGAAATAGAACAAGCTACTTCATCTTTTATTAATCATTCACACGATGCATATGTTACATCTAGTTATTGGGAAAAACAGATAACCTTAGCTAGGATTATCTTTATTTAAGTTTAAATTTAAATTTAAATTCTAGATATTCCTGGATTATTTCTAAGTTCAAACTCCTTATCACTGATTTCCTACAATAATAAGCAAGCAAAGGTTACAAAGGCTTAAAACAAAATGAGGGCAGCCAAAAATAAAGTCTACATGCTGATTCTATTAAAATATTTCAAGTTCAAAGGGTTTGCATATAGCAGAAGGGAGATATCCTCCACTTTATGTTTTATGCTAATTGTCTGAGGTCCACGAGTTTGAATTTATATCATAGTCCTTCAGTAATGTAAAATTTTTGTTTTCTGTCACCATGACATTTATTTTTAGCATTAATTTACTATTGTGAGTCATGCAATGTTATTTTTCCCCATGGTTTGAAATTTGTAAAGAGCTTAGGGATCATTCACCTTATGTGCTATACCAACTATCCCAACATATTAATTTCCTTCTCTCTTCTCTCTCTTTTTTTTTTTTTTTTTTTTTTTTTTTTTTTTTAACAAAAAACAAAAGGATAGTTGTTGGAATACAATAATCATATTGTTTTCATAGCTGATATAAGCAAACATATACACAATGGCGTCCTCTCACTCAATAATACTATTTTTTTTTTTTTTTTTTGAGAAACATATAAATATCATCAATTGAAATATTTACAAAAGAGCGAACAAGTTGTCCACAAAAGCAACCATTTAATGGATCACAAAAACTCTATGCAGTATAGATTGACCAACTCAAAAAAATACAGAGAACCAAACATCATGTCAATAGTATGAAATAAACCTAAACAGCTTCCCCTTCCAGTGTATGGAAAGAAAAGAGTTTTGGAAACCCTTTAGAGACCAATGCCCAAGAGAAGTAAGCAAACGCATTTTGTCCCACAGAATAATTATGTCTTCTTCACCTCCATCTTCAAAAAATATTTATATACATATTTAAAAAATTTTAAAAAAAAAAAAAAAAAATGCTTCATCATTTGTGGTGATATCAAAGGTTGCATGGTCAAGTTCAAAAATCAATATTAAATATCTGAAAGAAAGGTAGCAGTCAAGATTTCCACCAACTCAATGATGAGTCCTGAAAATTTGTATTTGCTTGTGATGGTGGAAGGTTAAATATTACTTCTTTTTTAGGTATCCGATGACAGAGAATTCAATCATAAATATGATGTAACATTGAAGCCTATACAGGAGATTCACACATCTGCAACCATTACCCTGATTGTAAATTTGATAGTTCAAACTGTTGATGTCATATTATGTGGACAACTTTTCACTCCTTTGTACTTATTTCAATCTATGATAATGATATGTTTCTTCTCAAAAAAAAAAAAAAAAAAATGTTGCTAGGTCTGTCAACATATGTATATCACAAAATAAATCCTCAAACCCTTAATGTGCTCCATATATATCAACCACTATAACTAACTATTTTCTTCCTGCCTCATTTTACAATGTAATTTTTTTTTTTTCTTTTTTTTTTTTTTAATAATAGTTTAAACTTCTTCACTGCAATCTAGTTTTAAGACATTTTTAAGAATCATCTTGCATTCTTTATCCATTAACTTCAGCCTAAATAAATCAATATAATCTTCAAATATTTTATTTTCCTTTCAACGCCACTGTCTTATATGTTTATTGTAATTTTTTCCTTATTTTTCAAGAAATGAAGACCATAGAGCAGGTAGACTGAAATTTGCATTTTAATCAAGTATTCTTTAATCAAGTATTCTTTCCCCAGCTATTTTCAATAATTTCTTGACAAACTTCATGCTTAAATATGCATGTGAAGATTTCATAAAGTGTCAATTATGGGTACTCACTATGCTTTGTCAAATTTGATGAAGATGTAAAGATTATCTCACGTCTTTTAGTTATAAGAAATTTCTTCAAAAATATGATTCTCAAAATCAATTAACTAACACTAGTTCCTTCATAAGAAACCACACAATAAGTTGAGCATATCAGAAAAAATCTAAAATATTGATAAATAATAACTTATTTGAGTAAAAGAAATATTAAAATATATATTAAGCAACGGGCAATAAGAAAGATATACAGTACCTCATTTGCACGTAATATTTGATCAGAATGTACAAAAAAGTCTGCTTCGAGGTCCATTGGCCATTTTAGACCAAAACACTTTTCAGACCTAAAAGTTTATATTTTGGTTAGAGAGGAAGGTGTTTAAGCAAATAATCATCCAACTGAAGTATGATAACAGAGACTACATTCAGAAAACTCACCAAAAGTACTCATTTAGATCATCATAATTCCTCCATTTTGAATGGCTTGCCTTTCCACCTTTGTTTCTCCTAGCTTCCTTTTTCACCAAATAAAAAACAACTTTCAGTTAGGAAGTCATAACCATGGAACAGATAATATTAACATTACAATAAAATAAAAGTTACCTTCCGCAAGACCTCATAGATAGGAATTATAACATCGTGCAAAAATGATTCTTCATCACGTACACCTATTTGATCTGTGTCTTTATCGCTAAATAGAATTTTATAAACCGCATTTGCCATCTTTCAAAACCAGGAAAATGGAAGAGTTACTTTCAGTTATGTAGAAGCCAAGAGAAAGAGAGAGAAGGAGAGAGATCATAATTAGAGAAATAATATAACATCATAAAATATTAATTATGGCCATTAATTGCCAGATCAATTGTTTGGTTTTCCAAGAAAATTAAGAATTTTATTGCAGACAAGAAAAATGAAAAGTAATATGTATTTGGCTACCATGCGACCAAACAAGTGAAAAAAAATTGGCATTGTTTCTGGTATAATCTTATCTGATTGTGAAACTATCAACGATAAAGACAGCACATGTTAACCAAGCTCGGCTGTATTAAAATTTTAAGTTAAATATGACACCATAATCCTAGTTTAACAGGATGAGCATATTTGTAAATCTACATTTTAGGCTACAATAACTTTTTTCTTCGTAAGAAAAAAAATTTAGTTGGAATGCGTATTTCTCTCTTTCATATTATAAATAAAACTTGAAAATTTACACAATAATGATTAGTTGCTTTATATTTCTCTTTCCATAGAAAAAAGCCAGGAATCATAATATTCATGATGAAATGAGAAAAGGTAAGCACAGCCCAAGCAATCATGATATAATTAACAACTAGTCAAGAAACAACCTTGATATTCAGTTGAAATGAAAATTGAACGTACATTATGGAAAATGTAGCAAATACATTCGGGCATAAATCGAATATTTGAAGCTTCACCCCAAATGAGAAGAAAAAGCCCAATGTAGATGAGCTGTAGCTGCTGCGTGTCAGAACCTAGGCAAATCCTGCAAATTGAAAATAATCAACTAGCTCATGCAAAATCTAAGCAGCAGCTTATATTAGACAGTAGGACAAAATTTCTCATATATTTAATACCCGAATGTTTAAACAAACAAACTTACCTAGTATTTGATTCACAACGCAAATAATTACACCATGACCAATAATTCTTGAAAATTTTGTCCATTAACTTCGCTACAGAGCCACTACTCATCTGTGACAAGCTATTATTAATCCTTGATATATGGACATGAGAATAAAACCAAGGCAGCTGTAATACAAATTGAAAAAGTATGAGAAATCAAAAAGTAATAAGCAGCCCACTTGAACTTTACCAGGGTGTAGTTTTCAAGATTCTTATTCCTGACATCCATATTGGCAAGCAGCAGTATAAGGTGCTCCCTCTGGTTTGCTACATTAGCTTTCTACAATTCCCACAAAGATTCAACAAAAGAATGCCATTAGATAAGAGGGATACTCTAGAGTTTTAGGCTTTTTTTTAAAAGGTGTGAGGCCGTCTAAAAATAACCTATTCATAACATGCATGTTCTCCACGTGAGGATGTTAACATAGAGGTGTAATAATACACAGAAGTACAGGAGAAAGAAATTAAGTAACACAAATCTTTTCAGTCAAAATTAAAGAAATAAAAAAGAAGTTGAGATGAAATTCATACAGAGAAAGAATTCATATAATCAACCCTATCTGTTTTGGAGTTGAGGCTAAGCAAGTTCTCTCTATCGTAAAATTTATTAAATTGATAAATGATAATGTAGAAGTTCTTGATATGGATGGTAGGGGTGTTTTAAACCTAGGATTTATTTTAGTTTTATTTGTTTGAATAAAGGGATAATCCTAGACCTAAGAGTTATCAGGATATGCAAATACAGTATATATAATTAGACTGCTGTAACCTATGCTAAAGTAGAATACAATAATAAAAATTATCAAGTGTTTTCTTCCTGATTTCCTGGTATCAGAGCCAGGTTCCTCTGGCTGTAAATACTAAAGGTGAAAACTGCCATGACTGGTGAGAGAAAAGGCAAAAGCCAAACTCCTCCACCTGTTCGAGATTCATCCTCCAGTCCTTCATCTCATCAGATTCCATCCTCCTCAAATACGAGATCTGGACAACCAGAAGTCCAGTTTTCTTCAGGTAATGATAATAATTCAATCCAGATCAGTGTTCACAAACTGAATGGAAAGAATTACGTCTCATGGTCTCAAGAGGTGAAGTTGATGGTTTGAGGAAGAGGTAAACTAGGCTACTTGACTGGTACAATTAAAGCCCCACAAGAACATGATCCAGCATACCAAAAATGGGATGCTGAGAATAGTATAGTGATGGGATGGTTAATCAATTCCATGGAAGAGGAGATTGGTCAATTGTACATGTTTCTTCCCACTGCAAAGGATATTTGGAGAGATGCAAAGGAAACATACTCTGATATGAGGAACTCAACATAGATACTTGAGTTGAAGTCTCAGTTGAGAGAGACCAAACAAGGAACATGATTGTAACTCAATACTATAGCATTTTGGCTAAATTGTGGCAGGAGCTGGACTTGTTCTTTGAAGCAGACTGGAGTTGTTCTCAGGATACTACCAAATACACAAAAATGTTAGAAAAAGAGAGGGTATTGAGTTCCTTGTAGGTTTGAATAAGGAACTAGATGAAGTAAGGGGTAGGATTTTGGGAGAAAAATCTCTACCTTCTATAAGGGAAGTATTTGCAGAGGTTAGAAGAGAAGAAAGTAGGAGGAAAGTAATAATGGGTGAATTAGTAGGATCCAGTAGTTTAAGCACACCATCAAAATCTTTAGCTTTGGTTTCAAAGGGTCGAGACAATCATACTAGGTCTACTGGAAAGCAGAGGGTGAAAAAACGAGGAGAAAAGGAGAATATCTGGTGTGAGTATTGTCATCGGCCAAAACATACCAAGGTTACCTGCTGGAAACTACATGGCAGGCCAACCAATTGGAAGATTAATAAGGTTGGCGGCAAGGGATTTCATGCTGGGATGGAAGAATTTGGAGATCATCCAAGGTATGTACCATTCAGCAAAGAACAATTGGAACACTTACAAGAATTATTCAATCAGTCCAACTTTGGTTCCTCTGATCGCTCTTGTTCATTTGCTGAGACTAATAATTCCCTCACAGCTTTGCATACTAGTATAGGAACAACCAATTCTTGGGTTGTAGATTCAAGGGCCTCGGATCATATGTCAAGTAACTCAAGTGTGTTAGTATCCTACAGCTCATGTTAAGGTAATCTAAGGGTTAGAACAGCTAATGGTTCTTTATCAAAAGTAGCTGGTAAAGGGGCCATCAAATTGTCTGAAAATCTTTGTCCACAATCTGTCCTACATGTGCCTAATCTGGCTTGTAATCTCCTCTATATTAGCAAATTGACTAAGGACTTAAACTTTGTGGTTAATTTTTCTTCTTCTCATTGTGAATTTCAGGACTCTCTCTCGGGCAGGATGATTGGCAATGCTAGAGAAGGAGGAGAACTCTACTATTTTGATGTCAAGGATTCTGAGAATAATCAAGCTATAACATCTATCAAAAGTAGCTGGTAAAGGGACTACCAAATTGTCTGAAAATCTTTGTCCACAATCTTTCCTTCATGTGCCTAATCTGGCTTGTAATCTCCTCTATATTAGCAAATTGACTAAGGACTTAAACTGTGTGGTTAATTTTTCTTCTTCTCATTGTGAATTTCAGGACCCTCTCTCGGGCAAGATGATTGGCAATGCTAGAAAATGAGGAAAAGTCTACTATTTTGATGTTAAGGCAAGGTTCTGAAAACTGGACCGGACCGTCCGATCGGACCGGTTCGACCGGTGACCGGCGGCATTTCCAGTCCGAAATACTTCAAAAACCGTTTATTGCATTTAAACCAGATTGGACCGCAGTTAGACCGTCGGAATAGTGCCGAATCGCGGTCCAATCGCAGTTGAATCCCGCCGGATTCCGGCACCGATCGAGGGAGAAATCACCGCCATTAGACTTGACCGCATCTCCACTACAAAACTCTGCCATTTTCAGTGGCCGTCGTCCAGCCATCGTCGCTCGCCGTCCACCTAAACTTCACGCGACCGTCAGACTTCTTTTGTTGATTCCGACGATTTCCGGCACCGATGGAACTCCTTGGCACCACCATCAGAGTCGCCGGCACCTACACATCAAAAGCCCCAAGATTCTAGCTTCGATTGACCGTCGATCGTCACTGCCGCCACCACTCACCAGAATCTTCGCGCGACAGGGGTGTTTTAAATAGATTTCAAACCTTAAGGGAGTATTATAGGAGTGTTTTTGATGAATTTCAAACTTTCAAGGACTAAAATATAATTTTACAAATTACGGTCCAACCGACCGATCCAACCAGTCAAACCGAAAACCGTACCCTTGAACAGGTCATTGTCCAGTCCAGTTTTCTGAACATTGTGTTAAGGATTCTGAGAATAATTAAGCTATAACATCTAGGTGTAATTCTGTCTCTATGTCCAGTAATTCAGAACTAATGTTTTGGCATCATCAATTAGGTCACCCTAGTTTCCCTTATTTACAAAGATTGTTTCCAGTGTTATTTAGAAATAAAAATCTAGTATTATTTGAATATGAAATCTGCCAAATTGCAAAACATACCAGATCAATATTTCCAACTAATCAATACAAGAGTTCTAGGCCATTTTCTATAATTCATAGTGATATTTAGGGACCATCTAGAGTTAAAAAAATTGCTGGATCAAAATGGTATATTACTTTCATTGATGATCACACTAGACTATGTTGGGTTTATCTTATGAAAGAAAAATCTGAAACAGGTAGAGTCTTCCAGAATTTCCATTACATGGTTAAGAATCAGTTTCACACACATATTCAAGTCCTAAGAACAGATAATGGTAGAGAGGACTTCCATTCTAGCCTAGGAAACTATCTACTCAGTCATGGAATAATATACCAAAGTTCTTTTGTAGATACCCCACAACAGAATGGTATTATGGAAAAGAAAAATAGGCACCTTTTAGACGTTGCCCGAGCACTTATGTTCACCATGAGCGTGCCTAATTATTTGTGGGGGGAGGCAACAACTTATTTGATAAATCGATGGCCTACTAAGATTTTAGAGTTTCATACTCCTCTCTCCATGTTTCTTCAGACATTCCCTGATTTTAGAGCCTTAAACTCTCTACCTTTGAAAGTCTTTTGGCGTACTGCCTCTGTTCATTTTCACTCTCATAACAGAGGCAAGTTAGATCCTAAGGGCATTAATGTGTGTTTGCAGGGTAGTCTCTCACTCAACAAGGATATAAGTGTTACTGCCCTATAAGGAAGAAATTGTTTGTCTCTAAAGATGTGACTTTTTTAGTCACAACCTTATTTTCCCAAACCCTCTCTTCAAGGGGAGAACTCACAGATTGATAATGAAGATAGTGTTTGAGAAATAACATTTCACAAAAGTCAAAATCCTACCGCAAGTCAAACTCCTACATCTACTCAGAATCCTAATCGTACAACAAGTCAGACACTCTACATCTACTCAGAATCCTACATCCACTCCAAGACCTCTGAATCAAAACTCAACTTTAACTCAAATCCATCCTCTCACCAGCCCTATTCTATCAAAACAAAAAATCTCAAAAACCCTATAACAGAAGAGAATTTGACACTTTGACTCAAGAACATATGAAGAAAAATGGAGGTTTGACTAGGCTAAATCAACCAGACCTCAGTTTATTCTTGGAAACCTGGTTATCAAGACAATGAGAATCCTTTTGACGATCTGCATGGCTAGTCATCCCAACCGAAAGAAGTCAATAAATCACAGCCTTCAGGTACAAAAATTTTGCCTCCTAGTGAGTCTAAGTTGAATGTTGATCTTCCTATAGGTCTTAGGAAAGGGGTTAGGTCTTCTACTCTAGATCCTATTTCTCATTTTGTGTCTTAAAATAATCTGTCTGTTGATTTTCAAGTGTCTGTTGCTAATCTCTCAACCATAGAGGTTCCTAAGTCAATATATGAAGCATTCAATGATCCTAAATGGAGAGAAGCTGTAATAGAAGAGATGAAGGCCCTTGAGAAAAAAATAGAACATGAGAATTGGTGAGCTTACCTGAGAGGAAGACTATTGTAGGCCATAAATGGGTGTTTACAGTAAAATATAAGGCAGATGGTTCAGTTGAGAGATAAAAGGCAAGGTTGGTAGCTAAGGGATTCACAAAGACCTATGAAATAGATTACCAGGAAACCTTTGCCCCCATAATCAAGCTGAATACTATTCGAGTTCTCCTTTTCCTGGCTACAAACTTAGGCTGGCCCTTGCAACAGCTAGATGTAAAGAATGTTTTCTTGAATGGTGACCTGGCAGAAAAGGTGTATATGGAGTTGCCACCGGGTTTTGCAGGTAATCAGATAGGAAGGAAGGTTTGTAAACTAAAGAAATCCTTGTATGACTTAAAACAGTCTCCTAGGGCCTAGTTTGAAAAATTTACCAAGGCTATTAGAAGTTATGGGATCACACAAGGTTAGACTAATCATACGTTGTTTTTCAAGAATAATGGGGGTAAGATTACTGTCTTAATAGTATATGTAGATTATATTGTTCTTGTAGAAACAATCTGGAAGAAATGGAAATGGTAAAAAAGGTTCTTGCCAAGGAGTTTGAGATAAAGGATTTGGGGCGATTGAGATATTTATTAGAGATGGAGGCTATCAGGAGTAAGAAGGGAATCTTTGCTTCTCAAAGAAAATATATTTTGGATCTGTTAAAAGATACTGGAATGTTATGGTGTAGGCATGCTAAAACTCCTATTGAACCAAATGTGAAGTTTGACCAGGACAGTAGAGATACACCAGTTGAAAAAGGCAGGTATCAGACTGGTTGGAAGGCTAATATACTTGCCTCATACAAGGCCTGACATAGCCTTCTCTGTAAGTGTGGTAAGCCAACACATGCACAACCCACAAGAGAAGCATCTTGAAGCTGTAAATAGAATCTTAAGATACATGAAGATGACACCTGGGAAAGGACTTCTTTTTTAGAAAACTAATGAAAGAAAGGTGGAGGCATTCACAAATGCAGACTGGGCAAGTTCATCGAGTGATAGAAGGTCAACTTCAGGGTATTGTACCTTCGTTTGGGGAAATCTAATAACTTGGAGAAGCAAACTGTGGTTGCAAGGAGCAATGCAGAAGCTGAATTTCGAGCAATGGCACAAGGTATTTGCAAGCTGATATGGCTAAAAAGACTCTAGGCAGAACTAGAAATCAAGAGTGAAGATCCTATGAAGCTCTACTGTGATAACAAGGCTGTAATTGGAATTGCGCATAATCTAGAACATCATGATAGAACCAAGCATGTGGAGATTGATAGGCACTTTATTAAAGAGAAGATTGAGGACAAGTTGTTCTGTGTTATCTACATACCTACTAGCCAACAGACTACGACATTCTTACAAAAGGATTGTCTAGACAGAATTTTAAAAATCTTGTTTCTAAGTTAGGAATGCTAAATATTTTTTCATCAGCTTGAGGGGGAGTGTAGAAGTTCTTGATAAGGATAGTAGGGGGTTTTTAAACTTAGGATTTATCTTAGTTTTATCTGTTTGAATAAAGGGATAATCCTGGACCTAAGAGTAATCAGGATATCCAAATAGAGTCTATATAACTAGACTGCTGTAAGCCTTTAACCTATTCTAAAGTAGAACACAATAATAAAAATTACTAGGTTTTTTCTTCCTGATTTTAGATAAAAACATTGTCCAACTCATAAATTCGAAGTTTGGAAGAAAAGGGATGGGGTAGTTACCAGTGAAATTGTGTATAACTAGCTGGATGACCTTGTGAAATTGAAAATTAAAGTCTGAAATTTTTCATCAATTTTTCAAAATGAACAACCTATACAGTGGATTGGGTGCAGTGTCAGCTTAGTAATAAATTACCCAAAGCCTATGGCATGTGAGATGCAGATAGACAAAGAAGGAAAGTAGGAATTCAAAGCACAATATACCTGAAACCCAAAAATTTGAGAAAGCCAATCAAGTATGTCGACAACAGGTTTATCCCTCTCATCAGGCAAGGCACCAGGACCTTTGGGTGTTGAATGAACTCTACACCTGGGAAGCTTTTGCACATTTCGGAGAGCATAAAGTGCAGCTTTGATCTATATTTCCAAAAGAGAAAGAAGTGATGATAGGGAATATTTAAGGAGCACAAGTGAAACCAAGATAAATAAATACTGCAGATAAGCAACCTCAGGAAGTTCCATAATTGCTGATTTAGCACAAGTAGCATTCAGTGGAAGAATGTTATATTGTTCAAATTGTTCCCTTTTGCTCCAAATATCCTCAGCATACTTGCGCGTCTGTAGTTACAAATCAGTTGTACATCCACTACTTTAGAACTTCCAGATGCAACCATGCACTTTTAAAAAAATTATCACAGTACTGATGTTATACAAATCGAACCTTATCATCAATTTTTGCAGAAGGCACCACAGTTTTCACCACATCATACAATATTGTCGCAATCTGCCAAATTTTGGCCATCTCATCCCTTCAATATTAAGCAAAAACCAAAAAGAATAAGACAATAAATACTAAATTGGCAAGTCAATAATTCAAAGTCAACCCTTACAGCTTTTTGGTATGTGCAACTTTATTGATATAGTTCTCACAGAAAATCTGATAATACAACTGGATTTCTCTTGGATCGTTTCTTGCAAGCTGGCGTATTGTCTCCTCTTCTTCCTGTAACCAAGAAAAATTTAGGATGTTCTAAATTATTTTTTGGAATTGAGATACATTGCTACATTACAGTTTCAATATTGAGCCTGGAAAGTAATAAGATGTGGCAAAAACTATTAGTCACTTAGTTCATGAAGCATAAGCTTAGAGAATGAATAAGATAACAATCAATGGTAGAGATAATCAAAAGCTGTTATGAAGCATTCAAAGTGGAGATTGGAAATTCAAGATCAAGACATGCACACTTTTTTAGGATTGATTTGCATAAATACTTTGTAAAGCTAACCGTTTGCATGTTTGTAATATTGATTTTAACTTTGTAAAGCTCAAGTCTTGTATATTTAATTTCAAAATTGCCAAATGCTTTTGGAATAGGATGGAAAATGACTTAGATTTAATTTTCTAAAATCCTTAAGTGACCAACATTTGTCTCGCCATCCATTTGCATCATTCATTTGGGACCCAAGGGCTTGCATTTTTACAAGCAAACATTGGGATTTTCATTTCTAGGCATTCAAATGTCCGCCAGTACATGACAATCCACATGATTCTCCAACAGGTTACTCATGACAATTTTAAGTGTAAAGGCTAGTTTTGCCACATCACACTCAGATGTCGATCTATGACATACGCGGACATTCATATGTTTCCATATTTTTGAAAAACTTTCAATCAACAAGTTTTTCGGGTTTCTCCAATAAATCCTTCTCTAGCTCCTTTTTTTTTTTTTTTTTTTACTTTCACAACCTTAGAATTTGTTATAGTCATTTCAAAAAGTGCTTAGGCAAAGGCTTTAGCTTCAATATGGTTAGTACTTTTTTTTTTTTTTTTTCCTAATGCTAGGAAACAAAGTTACTATACTAGAGTAATTTGTTAATATTTCAACTTTACTCTTAGTTAAGCTAATTTCTTGTAAGTTTTGTTTCGAGTGAGAGAGGTTGGGCTAATATTTGTGCATCTACTCATCGAGAAAGATTTTGGATTTTTTAATTTTCTATTGACCACTTAGGATACCTTAAGAGTAGATTATACTGGCCTACACTTGTCTAAGAGACATTTGTAAATCAACTGGGTTGAGGTGTGGGCATATCAGCTTGTTGGGGTCTAATTGCTATTTGAAATTCAATTTGGTTATCAAGGTTCAATCAATACCCAAAGGCCAATTGCCGGTTTTGGGTTTGAAGATTGAAGATAGAGAAAATTTTCACAGGGGAAGTTAAAGGAGTTGACATAAGTGGGTTTTCTAAACTACTATAAATATATATCAACAATCATAAAAATCATTTAGACAATAAATCAAGCATGGAAAAATAACATAAATTCCCCAAAGAAAGACTATTATTCAATGAAGAAAGAAAAGAACAATCATAAAAACCACTGGTAACTTTTAGGTGGACCTTCTCAAGTCTATGCAACAGTTTTGTCTTAAATTGTCGAGCACCACGTCGACCTGATGTTGGATCCATACTATGAGCCTTTTCAAATGCATGGAAGCGGCCTAGTAGAAAGAAATACAGTGAGATCAAAGTAAAGCAAATTACCCACCAACAACAAGAAGCATGCTTCTAGTACACTTGTCATAGACAATTAATAGCAATTATAGTCTATAAAAAGACTTGTTTGTTTTTTCAACTTTTAAGTCTGAATATAACTTAAGTCATTCAAACATGTGATGGTGTTTGCTTTTTGACTTAATAGTGACTTTTTAGATAAAATATCATTGCAGGACACGTAAAATCCAATACTTATCAGGCATTAGACTTCTTCAAAGCAATAAAAGAGGAAATAATAACAAACAATTATATCAACAAAGAGCTTTTCAGAAAAAGTAGTAATTTCTGGGATGCTTTTATTCAAATAGTGAGTTTTGTAGTTTAATGTCTATATATAGGGTGAGCCGATATGCATTCTCGACACCCATGTCAATTACACTCACCACTCTTAAAATTTTGACATTTATATTTTTTTTATTTCATATATCTTCATAAATTTAATATAGGTAGTGCTTATGTCAATTAAAAGTACAATAAAAACCAAAAGATTCGTTGATAGGAGTTTAAAATAAAAAACTAAAGTAATTTTAAACTTGAGTAATGCTATGCGTACTAATGGATTTTACTAACCAGTGTACTAAATTAAAGCATAGTACGGGTACCACACGCATAGTACGGATACTATGTGTGATTTTAACAAAGGTTAGTACACTGGTTAGTAAAATCCGTTAGCACGCAAAGTATTATTCTTTAAACTTTTAGTGTTGTCCACTTAAAAAAAAATACATAAAAACATTTTATACGTGCAAACAGACACACCCATTTATAAGTGAATAAGTTAACTCTTGGCATTGATTGGATTTCCCTAATTTTTTTTTAAATTGTAGATTGCTCATAGATATTGCTGAACATGAGATAGATTTGCAGCAACACAATGAAAGAAATTCTTAAAAAATGTTTTACCCAACATTTGCACTTAAATACACACAAACAGATAAATCTCTGTAAACTGATATTTAAAGAAGAAAAGAAAAAGAACTAACAGAGATAAGCAACTCTAGGGTTTTCTTCTTGGATACAATTAGCCGCACGAAGAATGGGAGCAATCTCAGCCAAGGACGAGGGCACAAGCTCACTGTCCATCATCAGTGAGCTGTCTTCAATCTGCAGGCGCACCGACTTCTTCCGTTTTCGATTCATCTTCGTCGACCGCGTCAGGACTTCACCGGAACTCGCAACGACTCGGACCACTCGGACAGAGTGGAAACTGCACTCAGCGTGAGCGGGTTGGTGTCAGTGTTGTTTGTGTTTGGTTTTGGTTGGTGAAGAGTGAGCATGGCTGGTTGTATATAAGTGATGGAGATATGCTTTGAGTGTGAGATAGAGCAAAGCAATTGCTCTGAGAAGAAGGAAGGAACAGATTTGGGGAATTTCAGAAAGAGCTTCCTTTTGAAAGGAGCCGTTGAGCTGTTTGGGGTGACCCGGTGAGAGGACAGTAGATTGACTAGAATACCCCTTAGATTTTATTCCTCATTTGTAGTATATGGATATTTTCGTCATTCCATAAGTGTAAAGCTGTTAGATGATATTCCAATTCAAAATTTATCTTTATTTATTGATGCCACCAATATAAGATTGGAATCTCAAATTTAAAGATTGAATTACTTGCGAAATCAAAATATAAAGTTAGGGATTTAGAAATGTATTACTTTATTTAGCAATTTCTCCTTAACTATAGAACCACGAGATAAGTAAAATAATTTATCAAATTAACTACCGAATAATCATAGATTGAGATACAAAGCCACAATGAAATAAGTACAATAACTTGTCAAATTTAAGGGATGGCATTTTAACTTGTACGAATTGGAGTGTCCAGATTGACCTGTAAAATATGGGTGGTTAAAAACCCGGAAATCTAGGGAACAAATGCGGGGTGAGTGTAGATCTTTGCACTCGATCAAAATGCAGGTCAGGTGCAGTTTTAGTGTCCCACAACCTGCGCGCGCGGGCCAAATTAAATGTTAAGAAATCACTATCACTAAGTTGGTGTATAAGGTTTAAGATTGAGTTGATGACTTTTTCCCACCAAAAAAAACATAATGATACTTTCCCACCCTTAGACTTTTAAAATACCGCTTTAGTACGCAAATATTATGTTTATCTCTGGTTTAGCTAGAAAATACAGTGATTTTCATTATAAAGACGAAAATATCCTTCTCTCACCACTGACATTGGGGAAAAGAGAGAATGACGAACAGTGAAATGAGAACAGCGAACAGTTTGCAATTGGCAAATCAACCTTCGATCTTGCTTAATTTCATCAATCAAACACACCCCAAATTTATCATTCAAACGAGACCTTAGGAAGAGGACGGCGACGATCGGCAAGCAAATGGAGTCTAGCTTGTTAGGAATTTTGGAAAGGGGAGGATAAGGATTCTGGTGGTAGTTTCATGGTGGATTTCCAACACTGGAAACGATCGGAAATCGGCCTGGAAGTTGAAAGATCGCACGATGCACGACTGGCAATCAGCGAGTCAGGGATGGTGGTGGAGGTAAGGATTTTGTAGAGTGGGCTGTGGGGAGTGTGATGGTGGTTTCTGGGGGGATTTCTGGTAAAGAAATCGATTAGAAATCTAGCTTGAAGATTCAGCCGTGTGAATGGAGGTGGTGGTAGGAAATGGTGACTGATGACAACAAATGGAGGCTTGGACTTTGTAAAAGAGGTGATGGGGATTCTTTGGGTGATCTCGGAAATGATTTTGAACACTAGGATCGGTCAAAAAAAGGTAAAAATTATCGGCTACGACACTGCTAACAAGCATTGTCCCCCTTTTCTTTTCTTCTTCTTTGGCAGTCAAAATGTTTATTAGCCATTTTGCTTTCACTTATAACGGACTTTTGACCATTTTGCATTTCCTCACAACAAAAATTACTAACAAAATTATGCTTTGAGTATTAAAGTAGTATTTTAAAAGTATGAGAGTAGGAAAGTGTTATAAAACCCTTTTTTTTTTTTTTTTTTTTTTTTGGGTGACTTTTAATATTCAACAAGTGACCATCTTTAAATTTAGAACGGTAAGTTAAAGTGAAATAAGATAAGTTACCAAATTACTGTCATAAAGTTTAAGATTGGACAAAAGGTACCCTCCTTAATTATCAAAGGATGGATTTAACTTGTCAAATTAATTGCGTTGTAGGGGACAAAGTTTGGGATTAATTATCACTTGATTTAGCAATCCCCTTTACTATAAGGATGAGGTAAATAAAATATTTCATAAATGCAAAGTATCAACCATTTATCAACGGTATCAATAAAATTTTACCCTACTTATTTTATTATNGGTATCTTATATTACTTGACAACCAAACGTGGTAATCAAGTAATATAAGATGACATTACCCCAGTAATGTCACTTAACCCCGAACCAAACTGACTCATAAGGTTCAAGATTGAGTCGATGACTTTTTCCCACCAAAAAAATTTTAATGACATTTTTCCACCCTTAGACTTTTAAAATATCATTTTAATATCTAAATGTTATGTTTATCTCTGGTTTTGATGGAAAATATAGTGATTTTCATTGTGAAGACGAAAATACCCTTCTCTTACCGTCGACATTGGGGAAAAGAGAGAATGATGAACAGTGAAATGAGAACAACTAATAGCTTGCAATTGGCAAATCAACCTCCAATCTTGCTTAATTTCATCAATCAAACACACCCCAAATTTATCATGCAACCGAGATCTTAAGAAGAGGACGGCGACGATCAACAAGCAAATGGAGTCTAGGCTGTTAGGAATTTTGGAGAGGGGAGGATGGGGATTCTAGTGATAGTTTTAGGGTGGATTTCCAACACTGGAAACGATCGAATTGGCCTGGAAGTTAAAAGGTCGCACGATGCACGACTGGCAATCAACGAGTGAGGGACAATGGTAGAGGTAAGGGTTTTGTAGAGCGGGTTGTGGGGAGTGTGATGGTGGTGTCTAGGAGGATTTCTGGCAAAGAAATTGATCGGAAATCCGGCTTGAAGAGTTAGCCATGCGAATGGAGGTGGTGTGGGAAATTGTGAGTGATGACGACAAATGGAAGCTTGGACTTTGTAAAAAAAGGTGATGGAGATTCTTTGGGTGATCTTAGAAGTGATTTTGAACGCTAGGATCGATTGGAAAATGGTAAAAATTGTTGGCTACGACACTACTAACAAGCATTGTCCCCCTTTTCTTTTCTTCTTCTTCGACAATCAAAATGTTTATTAACCATTTTACCTTCACTTATAAGGGATTTTTGACTATTTTGCATTTTCTCACAACAAAAATTACTAACAAAATTGTGCTTTAAGTATTAAAGTAGTATTTAAAAGTCTTAGAGTAAAAAAGTGTCATCAAACTTTTTTTTTTTTTTTTTTTACAATTCACATATAAATCCATCAATTATAACATCAAACCAAGCTCAGTTTTTTTTCTGTGAGAAAAAGTCGTTAACTCGTTTAAGATTCAACTAAAGGGACCTCTTTAAATTTAGAATGGTCAGGTAAAGTGAAATAAGATAAGTTACCAAATTACTGTCATAAAGTTTAAGATTGGACAAAAGTTACCCTCCTTAATTATCAAATGATGGATTTAACTTGTCAAATCAATTGCGTTGTAGGGGACAAAGTTTGGGATTAATTATCACTTGATTTAGCAATCCCCTTTACTATAAGGATGAGGTAAATAAAATATTTCATAAATGCAAAGTATCAACCATTTATCAACGGTATCAATAAAATTTTACCCTACGTTTCGCACACTCTTTTTCCAGTATCTTATTCTATTATCTTATCCTAAAAAACAAGAAATACATTTGTTTTAACATTCTTCAAAATCTAATCATATTTTATTCAACTCAAAACATTAATAATTACCTTTCTCAATAAAAGTTTTAAAATTAGCAAAAACACTCCCACCCATCCAAGCCACTATCACTTGCCAGTAGCCACTGCCGTTGTCGTAACGATGCATGATTGACTGGATCTAGTCGGTTTGTTCTTTTTTGGCCAAATATCTTGACCGTCAATGACAAATTGCTAGATTTGTGAATTTGGCCAGAAAATGTCAGATTGACACACCGACCAGATCTAATCAATTGTGCACCAACCCGACAACTTCCGACCACCGTTCGATGATGGTGGCCAACTGCCGACAATAGTTGGGTGGGAGGAGTTTTTTTTTTTTTTTTGTTAATTTATAAAGTTTTATTGTGAGGAGTGTTTAATTAAATTAACAAGTTTAGGAAGTTAAAAATAATCTAAATATTTTCTAAAAATGTATCAAAAACATTCTCGACATCCTATCGTGTTTTCCAAAAATACAATTCAAATAGAATACTATTGTAAAAAACTAAACAAACGGAGCCAATTTTCACATCTCGATTCTTAGGATATCGCGAGGCACATATACTTTATAAACATCTTACCAATTACATAATATTTCATTGACAATTAACCAACGACTACATAATTTTACATCAGATTACATAATCCTAAAATCAAATTTATGAGAACAAATGCTATGGGGTTAAACCATAAAGCACTGTTACTGGAGGAGAGCGCAGAAATTTAGATATCGAAATTATTATGAATGCTTCAAGTGTAGTCAAATTGCAGGCAGAATTTTATTCAATCCATTCATTAACTAACCTTGATGAACAATAAATCCAAAAACTTGACAAGTATATTAATGCTTCACCTAGTTGATGAAGAAGATTTGACAACAATTGACAGCCTAAATTTAATAACACAACAGAACCAAGAGTTGATGGTATCAAAGTGAAAAAAAAATTTCAACACTGTTAATAAATGAAAATAAGAAATAAGCATGGCACTTCAAAATCTCCTCTTGTTCTTTTTAGGGTTTTGAACACAGTGATTAGATCCCACAATTTTCAGTATATGATTCTACACCATCAAGATCGCGTATCAATGACCAGAAAAAATGAGCATTGGGAACATACATGGAGGAAGATATCCAACAATTGAAAAGGGAAGAACTCATTTGTGATGGAGATGTTCAACTAGAATGTAAGATCTTTGGGATCCTCGATAATCTTTGCCAGGGTTTGCAAGAATTGAGCAAGATCAGCGCCGTATATTACACGATGATCAGCTGTGACATTTACCTGTATAAATTGCAAGTTTGAATGGTAAGAATCTCTGCATTGATTTTGAATCAAGAAATAACCATTTCAAAAACATCATGACAAAACTGTTTGTTACCTGCATCTGGTTCTTCATGCCGATCCTACCATCCTTGGTTGCGACAACGGTGGGCTCAGACGCTCCAACAGCCATTATCGCACCCTGCATAAACAAATTCCAGAAAATACGTTGTCATGTAAGTCAATCCATACAAAATTTACCCGCCTCTTGCAGAGAATCTGGCAGATTGGGACATATTCACACTTGAATAGAAAAATACTTACTGTTCCAGGTGGTAGAATGGCATCAAAGCGATCCACGCCAAACATTCCAAGGTTAGAAAGAGTGAAAGTTCCTGTAAAGAAAGCCAATAATAATAATGAGCAGATATTACTCAGGTAAAAAGTCAAGTATAGCCCTACCCTAATTTCATGTCGGGCCACACCCAAAGAAAGGACATGGAAATATAAAATCACCAAACTAAAACAGTGGATAACTTAATGATACTAAAACTCTTAAACTACCATGATCTAAGAACATACATCTCAGGAAGCAGCTAGAAAAGAAAGCAGTATTTTCATTTATAATTAGTTGAAGCATCATTATGAGGTATAAACTTATGGCACCAGAGCCAGACAAAATTTCCAGGCAGCAGAGAGTATAATCCCAAGGCTCTCTTCTGCCTTTGCTTGTAACAGAAAAAAAGACTGCTATAAATCCAGGTGTGCGAAATCTAACATCCAAATGATTATATGAACAAAATGAAATGGGAAACCCAGGGATCTTGGACCAAAAAATATCAATTAAAACATAGAGCAACAATAAAAAATCAAAAACAGCAGACATGAGATCTTTGCTGTTCAATGCAGCATATTAATTGAAAAGAGAATAAAGGCATAATAAATCTACGAGTTACCCGAGCATTGATGACTATAATCAACTTAAACACAATTCCTAACCCACCAGCCCCCTTCCAGAAACAAAGAAATAAAATACAATTGCAACATTCAAGGTAAAGAGGTTAGGCTACATTTTGCTGACTGCCAATAACTACAACATGGCACAAATTCCAATCACATGACTCCAATTATTTACATAGCCAAGTATCTATAGGAACTAACAAAACATACAAGAGATTTCAGGGGTCAAAAGAAACATCGTCTATCTATACATCATTTCTGTTTGTAGAAAAGTGTGATCAATTACCATGGGAGTATGTGTTAAAGAAGGCCAAATTATAATTCTATAATCATTAGCTACTTAAATTGGATGCCTTGGGCAGGGCTATATGTACCTAAGCCTAAACAAGATTCAGTAAATTTGATTAATGTTGGTTGATCTTAAGGCACAATACAATACCTGGTGTACAACCCTCATAGAAATGCCTATACATAATTACTTATGAAAGAGAAAAATGTTTGAAGAAAAGTCTGAAGACAAAGTATGAACACCAAAAACATTAAAAACTTGTCAGCAAGTTATCAGAACACCCTGCTTTCCACCTTTCTTATAAGACAACATTAACAACCCAAAATGTTCTTCGGCAAGGAAACCATGCACATAACATAAATACTGTAACTTCTTACATCTTTTCTGTCTGCATGACTAATAAGTAGCAAGCAAAACTTGGAAAAATAAACAAATCAGTACAAATTAGGGGGCTTAAATCAGTCAATCTTTGTTATCTTCATAAAAAGTTGCATCATAGATTGCATTTCAACCTAGGAAATTGGAAACATTCTAATGAATTCAATGGCATGATTATGAATACAAAAACTTCACATACAAATATTTTACAATCATATTCATGAAGGAATTTATTTGCTTACCTGTATTGTATTCATGAGGTTGCAGCTGCTTGGCACGGGCCTTATCAACTAACTCTTTCCACTTTCTCGACAATGTGTAAATGTCAGCCTAAAGGATACATTATGAGACTTGTCAAAATTCAGCAGCAAACTCTTTCCACGAGAGGAATGAAAATAAAAGAAACACTAACAAGGCAGAAAATAAGTAAATTAAAACAACCTTATCAGCATCTTGAAGCACTGGCGTAATCAAGCCGCCATCTATAGCCACAGCAACAGCAATGTTGATGCTACTATTATACGTAAAGCTATTACCATCTCTACAACTAGAATTCACAACAGGATGTTTAACCAATGCAAGTGCTGTCGCCTTTGCAAGCAATGCTGTCATTGTCACTCCCTTGGACTTGATCTACAAAAATAAATACAACCGAATTAATAATTCAGAGATACACAAAATCACCAATGTCAGCAACAAGAACAATATTTCATTACATAACCCTGATCATCAGAAAAAAATTCAACATATACACAATTCGAGTGAAAGAACCTTCCTCCAGAGAAGAACATTCTAAACTTAAAGAGTAAACATCATTTACATCCATCTTCGAATTGCAAATCCCTATGATCCAGAGTCTAATCACAGGCAGACAATTTCGAAAATTGGTCTTCCAACCAATTTCAAAATTAAGGGGGTTTCTCTATATTTCAAAGCCAAACCTACAAAGAAATTCCTAAAACTAATTACAGCAAGAAACTAATACCGATTCATCAATTACCCTGATTTATCAAAAACAAAACTTCAACATATACACAATTCTTGGAGCCAAAGTAAACTTTCTTCAGATAATATCACTCTAAACATTTTTAAAACTAAAGAGTAAACTTCATTCACATCCCTATAAACCGCAGTCTAATTTATTTTACGGAACTTGAGAGGGGATTTCTTATGATAAATTTTCTCTTATACTAATTATAGCAATAAACTAATGCCAATTCATCAATAATAGCTAAAGAAAGAAAAATATAAAAATTGTTACCTTCTTGTACAAAGCATCAAGAGCATCAGTAGTAATAGTGTAACCAACTCTAAAAGTAGGAACACTCAAACTCTCCACCATGTTCCTACTCACAGCACCCTGCATTGTCGTGAATGGCACCACACTTCCCAATGCAATCCCTGCCGCCGCAGCTGCTGTCTTAGCGGCCGCCCCACCAGAAGGAGAAGCAGCCACCGGAGTGGCAGCCTCAGCTGCAGCCGCCTCGACATCCTTAGCCACAATCCTCCCCAATGGCCCAGTCCCCACCACTCTCCCTAACTCAACCTTCAACTCCTTCGCTAGCTTCTTCGCGTACGGAGACGCCACTATCCTCTTCCCTTCCTCCGACGCCGGATGCACACTCGATCCCAACACCTTCAGCTCCTTCTCCGCCGCTGGCGGCCCCACCTTTTCAACAATCTTTTCCACTTCCGCTTTTGGCTCCTTCACTTCAGCACTCGGCGCCGCCTCAATCGACCCACCACCCGAAGAAGCAGCTTTAGCCAGAGCCTCCGCGATTTCCTCCTCAGTCTCGGCCAACAAAGCAATAGCGGACCCCACAGCCGCAACCCCACCTTCCTCCACCATAATCTTAGCAAGAAACCCATCATAGAACGTCTCGACATCCATGTCAGCCTTATCAGACTCGACGACGACAACACTCTCGCCCTTGGAGAGCTTATCCCCTTCGGACTTGACCCAGGAGACGATCTTGCCTTCAGTCATAGTAGAACTGAGAGCCGGCATGAAGATTTCGCGGATCTTGGCGCTGATTCGGGTCCTCCTTGCGGGTCTGGACAGGTGGAGGAGGCGGTTCTGGGAGTGGGTGGTGGGGCGGAGACAAGGGGAGGAGGAAGTGGAGGGAAGAAATGTGGATTGAAGAAGGTGAGGCATTGCTGTTCGAGATGGGCGATGAGTCCAAGAGTGTGAAAGAGTGTTTTGGAGAAGAAGAAGAAGAGGGAAGAGAAATGTGAGGGGATTTATATTTGAAAAAGAGAAGAGAAGGAGAGGAGTGCTGAGTTTTGGTTAACGTTGTTGTTGCTGTCTAGAGTGTATCGAAACATGGGCGGAGGTTTCAACTACCTTACCGGTGAATGTGATGAATGCTTTTGTATTTTATTTTATTTCTGAAATTTGGGGTATTTTTTTTTTAATAATGTGATAAAAATAATCACTTTCTTGTAATTTTTTTTTTAGTTTTACCAACATTGATATTTGATGTATTAAATATGCAAAGATTTTGTTTTTAGGGTTCAGGGTTTATTTTATTTATTTTTAATGAGAATAGTTATACTAAAATGTTGGTTATTTATTTATGATATTGTTTTTAATTAATAAATGTATAGTTAGATTGAGAATTCAACTACTTATTATTTATGGCTTTACCACCCAAAGATTGAGATAAATGTAGTTAGGAATTTGGGTAATCTAGTCACTCTAGAAAATAAAAAAATGGCGGTTTTAGAAATTATATGTTAATTTGGAATGTTTTAATAGAAAAAATATATGAGAAATTACACCAATTAACCAATATCCATGGTGTGCTCTTAATAAAATTGCTTGTGTACTNAACAGTTATACTAAAATGTTGGTTATTTATTTATGATATTGTTTTTAATTAATAAATGTATAGTTAGATTGAGAATTCAACTACTTATTATGGCTTTACCACCCAAAGATTGAGATAAATGTAGTTAGGAATTTGGGTAATCTAGTCACTCTAGAAAATAAAAAAATGGCGGTTTTAGAAATTATATGTTAATTTGGAATGTTTTAATAGAAAAAATATATGAGAAATTACACCAATTAACCAATATCCATGGTGTGCTCTTAATAAAATTGCTTGTGTACTATTAGTAAATTAACTTTACCCTGATTGTTGTTATTAGACGATTGAAGTTCCTATTACCCTAATCATCTGTTATGTCTAAGAAAGTAGGGCTGACGCCGAGCCTTATCAGCATGGGTGGTTGGAGCTTAAGAAGGTTATACAACCACTCAGATGTAACCACGTTGCGTGATAACGTGAGCAACATGCTCCTGCCAGTGTAGTGGGTATGTGCCAGGTTGGTGAAAGGCTAGAAAATGTCCACGTGTCCAATCACTGTACAAGTCGAGGAAATCACTCGGGCAGATGAGTAATGAGACGCAGAGAAGGATTTGCACAGCATCTGCCCCACTCACAGATTTAGTAATCATTACCTTAATTCAGCCCACTATAAATAGAGGGCTCCTCTCCTGCTTGTGGGATTAGCTAATTTGTCTCTGAAATAGAATACACATACTCTCTCTCTCCCTATTGTATTTCTTAAGCTATAAATCAGCTCGTTAAATGCGACCTGACTTCACTCATTAATACAATATCAATGGATGTAAGATTCGCTTGTTTGAGCATCCGAACCACTTTAAACATTGTTTTTTAACCCTCACTCAATCAAACACCCCCATAATCACGTGTGACATCTAAGTCCGTTCAGCATTTCTCACGTGCGAATAGTTGGTGTCAAAATCATGCATCAACATCATCTTTTCTATTAGCCTGTTAAACAAGAAAACCTTAAGGAGAGTGTGTGTAATTAACTCATTTTCATAAATAAATTTTTTCTCATTTTGTACACCCACAACGCCTTAAAAGATTTTTAAATTTGTTTTTCAATATTCTTAATTGTTTTCCAACAAAGGGTTAGTCTGTTTCAATAATAGAAGTCTATAATACCACGATGGTATTGCTAATGTGGTACTACAAACTAATACATGCATGACATGTAGTTATTATATTGAGTAAACAACTTTTTCCCACCTAAATAATGACTTAATGATACTTTCTTACTTGGATGAGAAAAATTCGTTAACTCTATTATATTTGATAAATACATATCACAATCAAAATAAAGATATATGAAAGAAAAAAAATTCAGATATGTTACAAATTCACTGGTTGGTGGTATGAATGATGTAGTATATCACTGTTGTATTATGAATTTATTTATAACATTACGTAACATAATTACCACCAAGAACTTGATTTATTTATAGATTATAAACTTTGATATTGATAAATCCACTTATCTAGAATTTCATTTAAGAGAATTAAACCTTCTCAAAATTATATTTTTTAAGAGCCAAAATGATTTGTACTAATTAACATAGATGAATAATATGATTTGTATTAATTAATATAGATAAATAATATGTATTTGTGCTAATTAATTCATGTTATTTAGCCTTTTTTTTCCCTGTACAAACTCATAAAAAAATGTATTATCTAATATTACTCAGATAGAAATAGGGAAAGGACAAAAGACCCCTTGAAGTAAAATAAAACAAAAGGGTATCATCGTTTTTTCACGATAAATGTTGGGTCTGCAAGTGGATTTGTGAAACGTGTAATTGTTCCAAAAATTAGGGATTAATAAGTAATTTTTCTTAATAGATAAACATTTTATCTTTGGATTACCTTTTCGTTCTAACTCTCTCTGAGTCTCACTAAATCACCCTATGGCCATCTCCGCTTCATCTTTCATTTCTCTCTCAACTTCGCCTGTAACTACTCATTTCTTAATCCCTTCTTCTCTCTATCTTTTCCCCATTTTTGTGTATTATTTGATGAAGTTAAATTAACTTTTTTTTTTTCTCTTTTCTATAAATGTTTTTTGGTGCAGAGGATAGAGTTGAGATCAGGAAGTTCAAGCGGTTTGAATTTTCAGGTTTCTATTTCGATTTTTAATTTATTTTTCATATTACTTAAAATATTTTTATCATTCTTATAAGATTTATAAGATTTTATTACTTTTTTTTCCAGGTATGTCGAAGCTGCAAACAACGGTCGAGGTCGGCAAGTTGGGCGACGGAGAAAATTGGTAAGAATGGAAGCGATTTTCTTTTCTTTTATATATTTTTCTTATTTTCTTTCATTTTTTTTTAAATGCTGAAAACATCCTTTATTTTTTTTGAGATTAATGCTTTTTTTTTTAAATAAATAATTTTGTTCTTTCAAAAAAAAAAAAAAAAATTCATGTACAATATTTTTGTTTCTGGATTTGAAAAAAAAAAAAAACGATTGTGTAATATTTTTTTTAAATTCTAGAATAATAAAACAAAGATAGAATGAAGAAATTTCATGTGCCTATTGTTGTAGTGAAGGTCAGAGGTAAACTAGATTCACATGCTGAGGTTTCCAGTGTAAATGGGTTGCTGTAATAGATTGTAGAAAATGTTAAGTGCTGGTTGTCTTGAATTGTTGGGATGAGTCATATTTCAGATTATCATCAAGAACTTTGGATTTGATATCCTTGCTGAATCTTACCGAATGCAGAAAATTTAACTCGACCGGTTAGAAGCGGTTTCCGTGTGGTTTTCCTCCATTTATGTTTATGGATTTTGAGAAAGGATAATGAAATTGAACGACTATAGGACTGTCTAACCTGTGTATAATAATCGATAATTTTATTCGAATTCTCAATGTAAATGTCATGAAATCTAGGCATGTTCTGTTGAAATTTGAATTCTGATTATGCATTTGGGAATGAAATAACAACTGCTTGCTATATTTTTGTCATGCTTAGCGATAATTGGCATCTGATGAATATACAGGATAAATTTAGCTTCAAATTCTTGGTGGAAGCCTTATGTAATATGTATGTTCAAAAAAACTTGAGTTCGGTCAACCTAACAAATTGTGCTAATGCCTGTTCTCATTGTGATATGCAACTGTCATGCTTTATTTGATCATGATCCGGTTAAATTTCCTCTCACATCATTAGAAATGATTACAGACGATTTTTCTTTGTTCTAGTCGAAGAAGGATGACATGTTGAGGTACAAGATGGAGCGAATTCCTTTCTTGGAGGAGCAAGTGAGAAAGATAAAGGAAGGGGGAAAGCTTTTGACCATGGACATCGAGAGGTTGTTGCTATCGGAGGATAATCGATTTGATTTTGTGAACGAGGTGGCAGCTGAAGCTAAGGAATATGTTGAGAGCAACCGAGATGAGTATGGAGGTAAGAAGAAAGCTATCCTTCATGTCTTGAGCAATCGAGTGAATGACTTAGGGTTCTACCGACCAGATGCATATGAAGAAACTGACCCTTTCAAGCCCGGACCTACTTATTTAAAAGAAGAGTTCACATAAGCATTCAAAGATATACAAAACTAGATGCTTGATACATGCTGAAATTTGTAATTCTTATTGTCTTGAAAATCATTGGCTTATCGTATTGGAAGGTGGTTGTATTGTTCTGAGTTAGTGAAAGTTGAGTCAATGTATAGAATGGAAGGCAATTCTATCCACTTGTGGCTGTTGTTGCTTTTGCTCTACTTGTTGAATCTGTAGCTAGTGAAATTTTCATTTGAAACTTGAACACCATTTGATGATGGGTCGTCTCCATCTCGGGGTAACGGATTCACAGTTGCGAACTATCAGGATCGTCACATTTCAGGAGGAGATTTGCCAATGCCATAATTGAATTGCCTATCCAGTGAAAAATGATCACGAAGTCTTAATGGTAACTTACCCTTACCTAGAACTTAAAACTTATTCAAATTTAACAGATTTTATTATGAATCTACAATATAATTTCCTAGGTATTAAATCTGATACAAATTAATTGAAATAAAATAAATTTTTTGTGCAATTTTTATCGTAATTTCATGACTTTACTCAGCATGGTCATGAAAAAATATAAAAAAAAAAAAACGAAAAAATATATTGTAATCCTTGTAATTATGTAGTAAATAAAGTTAATATTTAAAAAAAATATAGATATTTCTTTTTTCAAAAAAAAAAAAAAAGTGCGGGTAACGATACTACTCGCCTACTCGGCTGGTAACATAACAGTTACCTGTTGTCCCTTATCTAATATGGCCGAAGCCTCATAAAATGGAAACACTGACCAAATTACTTGTAGTATGAGACCACTCTTCTTTTATGGTGCAAGCGAATATGATGCATGTTGCCGTCCACGTTCCCAGTCTCGCTTCAGTTTCAAGTATCAAACCCAGAAGCAGGACGCAGAAGATAAAACCGGGGGTTGTCTGTGCGGCTTTTGATCAAACAGTTGGTGGGCAGTTGCTAATTGATAAAGAGAAGAGTAAAAGCAGGAGAAGGGTGTTCTTCTTGGACGTTAATCCACTCTGTTATGAAGGCAGCACGCCCAGTTTGCAATCCTTTGGCCACTGGGTTTCCCTTTTCTTTAGCGAAGTTAGCCACACTGACCCTGTCATCGCTGTAAGCTCTTTTCTTTCGTTTTTTATGTGTTCTTTTTGAGAATTTGAAGCTACTGCTGATTAACTTAAATATCAATGTTCGTTCTTTAGTTGATAGGTTATATTTTTGGTTAAATGAGAGAGTTAAAGGTCTTGAGTTCAAATTTAAGGTGCACGTGGGGGGCTGTTATGCTTAAAAAATCAATGTTTGGTCTTTACTTGATATCTTAAATTTATAGGTCAAATGACTGAGTTGAAAGTCTTTTGAGTTGAACTTCGAGTTGCATGTTGGGCATGTTAAACTTAAATAATAGTGTCAAGTATTAATTTGATGACTTAAGATTTGGGGTCGAGTGGTTAGTGAATATGTTTTGTGGTCTTTTAGAGTAATTTTTTAGTATAAGAACACCTGGATATGGCTAGTTCCACTTTTTGTTTTGTTTTACCTGTATAGTAAAATTTTCAGGTTTGTATATAATATTGCATGTTAGACCTTGTTAGTTTTCCTGTTGTTAGATAATTATCTTGTAGTGAATCAAATTAGGGAGTTTTTTCTACAAGTTCTAGCGAAAGAGCAGGGCTTTGTATGATATATAGTTGCAGTACTTTTATGCTGTTCATAGTTGTCTTAGACAGTGGTTGAGAGTGCATTATCTTTCTTATGGTCATTAAATGATGGTGGATGAGAAATTTTTATTTCATTTACAGGTTCTTGATGGGGAAGGGGGTTGTGAGCATCGTCGACGATTATTGCCTTCGTATAAAGCTCATAGGAGAAAATTCATTGGACTGTTAAATGGTTCTCAAAGATTCTCGAGGGGCCATGTTGGGAGGTCACGTCAATTCATCATGGATGTTCTCGGAAAATGCCATGTGCCAGTGAGTGAAGTGTCTTGGTTCTTAAATCTTAATTGGTTAATTTTCTTCAATTCTATAAAGTATATACTTTTAGGTCCTTGGTGAATCTAAATTTGTCTGTCTATAAGTGTTAATCAAATGTGTTATGATATGGTGAATTTTGAAAGACACACTCGAAAGTTTAACTTAAATTGTTATGAGCATTTTTTTATATTTTCATTTTCATCTCAGGATTGTTTTATATAGACAGGCCACAGTTTCAAGTCATCACCTATTGCTGCACAAGTTTGATGGAATATGTGACAGCAATAGGTGATGGATTACAGGAGCATTAGCACTTGTGATAACTATCATGGTCATCGGCTCTTGATACTATGTCTTTCCATGCCAATTTTGTATACACTTCTGAGTTCTGCCTCATTTGTATTAATTTCTTCCTTTCTAGTGAGATATAAAGAACGAATTTTTCAAAGTAGATAAACATGTTTTTTTACCTTAAGAGACTGGTAAGGATCTAGTAGTGTGGCAGTGACAGAAAATTAGTTTGGTGTTCCTGTTAATTATTAATATTATTTTACTCAGAAATCCCTAGAACTTTCTTACACGTTCTAAAAGTTCTACACTGACTACTTCTAGGCCCTATAGCCTTGCTAATCAGGAAACTTGTTGGATGTGATTATTTATAGTAGGTGAGCTGAAGGGAGTGAACCCTCGGCCTTTTGGTCTAACCAAAGGCCAAAACCACTCAACTAACCCCCTGATGTTCTTGTCGATGATTGTTGAAATTATAGCTTCTAGGTGTCAGTGGCATTGACAACATGAAGTATTCAAAAAAAAAATAGAAGTAAAAAAGAATCAGTTTTTGTTAGATTACAGAAGATTAGTTGTCAATGCTAAATTGTTTTTGGGTCATCGCTATTAGAAAGAAAAATATTGTTGATGGACCCGTACATGTAAATATGAAATTGTTGTTTGGATCCTTCCTTTATGATCCGAGTTTCTTTATTGACAAAGCAAGGGAATTGCAGGTTGTTAAAATTGAGGGTCATGAAGCAGATGATGTGGTGGCTACACTTGTGGACCAAGTTTTGCAAAGAGATTACCGGGTGGTTATTGCCTCTCCTGACAAAGATTTTAAGCAATTGATATCTGAAGATGTGCAGTTGGTTATGCCTCTGAAGGACTTAGAACGATGGTCCTTTTACACCCTAAAACACTACATTGCTCAATATAATTGTGATCCGCACTCTGATTTGAGTCTTAGTAAGTATTGACCTCATTGGTTTGATATTCATATTTTGATAGTTAATATTGTGATTCAATACAAGTTACCCATATGTGCATTCTAATGATAAATGGTGTTCAGTACTGTGGTTGATTCCAATCATCAACAGTTGTGGCTTGTACAGCTAGAGCCAACCTAGGCTATCACTGATGGAAGCCAACCCAGGCTATCACTGATGGAAGCCAACCCAACTAAATTATAATTACCATCATTTGTTGAGTGGGAGAATCATTTGTTCAGAAAGTAAATAAGTGAAATGTTGCCTTCTGGTGGTGATCAATTCTCGTTAGTATCATTGTATGGCATTTTTTGCGCAAGTTGTTATCTTGTGATTAGATGAAGTTCTAAGTTTCAGTTATCATTGCTGCTTTTTGTGTTGATCCATATGTAGATGAGTTGCAGAATTTGGTCAAAGTCTTAAACAACCTGGAGTAAGCGTCAAAAAGGATATTGAAATTAGTTGATATAATTTCTTGAAGTTTAAAAAAAAAAAAAAAAAAAAAATTTCCGTAGTTTTAGGATTCTCTCAAGGTGTTTGAAAAGAAAGTATGAAGGGGGAGAGGAATGATTAAGAAGAATATATATAACCATATTCTCTTTTCCTAATTGTATTTCTATTTATAATCTGAACTTCTTGAATACTACAACTGTTGGCTGAAAGTCTATACCTCCTTTCAAGACAGTCCATTCCATTGCTCTCCTCACTGTGACAACTGGCTCTATCCATATCGTATGAAAACCTAATGAGAGATATAAATTATGTAGGGTGCATTATGGGTGATGAGGTTGATGGTGTTCCTGGAATCCAACATTTGGTTCCTGGATTTGGCCGTAAAACTGCCTTGAAGCTTTTGAAAAAGCATGGTTCGCTGGAAAATTTACTGAATGCAGCAGCGGTAAGAACCGTGGGTAGACCGTATGCGCAAGAGGCCCTCACAAAGTATGCTGATTACTTGCGAAGAAATTATGAAGTTCTTGCCTTAAGGAGGTAAATTGTTTCCTTCTTTTACTGCTCCCTCATCTTCCAGTCTCAATGAAATGTTTCCTAACAGGGCCTTTACCCTGGAAATTTGTAAATTTAATCTCTCTGACCATCTCGTCCTCTATACTCATATATTTTTTACTTTGATGGACTTGGATTGTGCCATTAATTACAGGGACATTGATGTTCATCTTGAAGAGGAATGGTTGGTTGAAAGAAATACGAGCAATGATTCAATAATTTTATCTGACTTCTTTGGATCGTTGCAAGAAACCCAGAAGGTCACTCGTCAAAATAGATATCATTTTTCTAATGGTTAAAGCTCCACCAAGGTAAGTTTGAACTTCTTCGATGGTCAGGAAATGATATGATACTAAGTTTCGTATTGCATCACCTCATTCTAGTACACTCTTTGGAGTTCATTTGCTTATGCTTTTAAGAATCATCTTACAATAAACCTTTCCTGTAGGGCTCAGATATGCTGTAAATTTCACTGAGATAAAATTTTCAGTATTTATCGTAACAGTTTTATAGCGTTGGGTTTTTGTTCAGTTTGATAGAATTAGTGAAAAAACAATTGTGTTCTAAGAATATAAAAAACGGGATTACTGCAAATTTAGTGTTCACTTGAATCCTGCATTGACTTGCATCAATAGAGGCTGCAGATAATATGACAATGAGCAGCTGTATACCTGCTTAAAAATGAACCACTCATTATATGTGGCATCAGAAATTAAAAACATTAGGCAAGCTATTTCCAGCAACACCAAATTACAATAATGGAGCATGTTACCTGCTAGAAATCCATGGACCATATAAACCGTAAACAGTTAACCTTTGCCGTTGAGTGATAAGATGTAACTTTGATGACATAAGTATTAAAGGCCGTTTTATTCTGATTTTGTTGAGTTTGCAGACTCTTTGCGCCTTAAATTGATACATGGCACATACAGAGGATCATTTGGGTTTAGACACACGAATTTTCCCGAAAGCGGAGACTATTGAAGCATGTAGCAACAGTGGGACTTGTATGTGCAAGACAACGATCCTTGGAGAGTTTCTTGAAGAATATATCATAGTTTGACGATGCAGCTCACGGTTCCATAGTTCTCATAACTCATATCTTTCAAAAGGGATTTCACCAACAATCAGAGAAAAAAAGAACAAAGCAGGCATACTTAAAGGTCACACAGACTTGCCTATTAACTTGTATCAATTGTTTGTAGGCATTTTTATACAGTTGCTGTAATCTTGTATCTTATATTGACAAAAATCTGAAAATAAAAATAAAAATGATATTAACATTAATATTAGAGTATTTGTAGAGTGAGATAAAATTAAACAAATGTGATTATGCTGATATTTAGTAAGTAATTCCCCAAAACTTTTACTTTTGACATTTTTTTTTTTTAATTTTTAAATTTGAAAAGCACTGGGAAGCAAGTTCGAAGATTCCCTGAACTTTTACAGTCCCAAAACAGATACGAAGTTAAAAGACCAAAAGAGTCTTGGTTCAAATTTTAGCAAGGCTAAGGGGTGACCATCAATTACCATAAAAACAAAAAAAAAAGGATACGGAGAAAATAAATCCATTTCTTTAAGGTACTTTGGAAACAGATCTATTACAGACGGGATGAAGCTTGTAGCTTAGAAGATTAGAGCATATGGTTACGAACCATGGTTTTGAGTTTAAATCCCTTTACGCCCACAATCGGCCAAAAAATAAATCCTACAAAAATATTTTAAAGAGCATATAATACACTACGAAATATAGTAGTAAGAAGATAGGGAATGAATAATCCTCCCAAAACTAAAAGGAATTATTTGATTCAATATTTTAGAATCCTTGTGAGGGAAAAAAAAAGAGAGTATCCAACCTAAGAAAACACTTTGTGCCCTAATTCGATGAGCTAATGAAGCAAATGTGACACCAGCAGAATTAAATTAATTCCTATTTAATTAATTACATGCCATATTATTTATTTAAAGAGTGATATTATAATAATAAGATTAATTACTAAAAACAAAATATTGTTATTATTATCATTATGATTAGTTTTAAAAAGATGAAGAATCTACCTGTTTCAAGGTCGTTAATCTTTTGGGTATTTTTAAAAGGTCGAACGATTTACGCATACCCAAGGTTTGCTGAAACAATAAATTGGTACTCAAAATGTTTTGAAACGACAAATAGGTACTTTCCATCATGTTCTATTAGTGATTTTCGTTTGATAATAGTGAAAATACTAAAATGCATTTGAAAGTTTAATATTTTAGTTTTTTATAAATTTAAAAATTTCTAAAAAAACCCCCTAGGTTTGCTAATTTGACTAAATACCCTAATATATAAAATTTTTATAAAATAACAAAAATACCCCCGTCACCCGCAGTGCCAGATTCCGGCCACTACCACTGAAATCTGGCCAGAAAATTGTGTGGCTGATCTGGCATTTTCCGGCAAGATCAGTGGCTGATCTGGCCGGGAAAAGGCCAGATTTGGTCGTCGAGACCAGAATCTTGCCAGAAAATTGTGTTACGATGCAGACCCTTCGGATCTGTGTCGTAACACGTCGATCTGACATTTTTCGGCTAGATGTAGCCGTCGAGGCCGAAAAAGGCCAGACATAGATCTGACCTTTTTCGGCCAGATCGATGCGTTACGACACAGATCCGACAGGTCTGTGTCGTAACGTAATTTTCCGGCCAGATTCCAGCGATGGTAGCCGGAATCTGGCACTGCGGGTAGCGGGGGTGTTTTTGTTATTTTATAAAATTTTTATATATTGGGGTATTTAGTCAAATTAGCAAACCTAGAGGGTTTTTTATAAATTTTTAAATTTATAAAAAACTAAAATATTAAACTTTCAAGGGCATTTTAGTCTTTTCACTATTATCAAACGAAAATTACTAACAGAACATGATGGAACGTACCTATTTATTGTTTCAAAACCTTTTGGGTATCAACTTATCGTTTCGATAAATTTTGGGTATGTGTAAATCGTTCTCCCTTTTTAAAATGAAATGTTACCTTAAAGCATTAAAAAAATTAAAAAATTAAAATAAAAACAAGGCACTTTTGGCGTTTACGAGACCAAACACGGCCTTAGTTTACCATATTTTATCAACTTTATCTTGAAGCAGTAACGAACCCTGTGAGAGTGAGAGTTGATGCTTTGAAGCAGTTCGCAGAGCAAAAATAAAAATGCTTTTACAAACAACGAATTCATCTCCACTTTCTCATTCTCTCAACTCGAGGCGCAAGAATCTCTCTCTTCAAGTAATTATCGTACTCAATTTCTCTTTCGTGTTTTAATCATTTCTTTAGATCGTTTGCGGCTTTGCTACTTGAATTTGATTTTGTTTATGGAGTTGCCTGTCAAAAACATATAAGAGATAACGAAGAGGAAGAAGATGATTAATCTGGCAACAGAGTTGGCTAGAAGAGTTTATTTATTTATTTTTTCTAATTTTGAAGCTAAATTTGGTTACAAGTTGAAGGTTATTCGATTGGATGATGATTAGCTGATCTTTATTTAATAGTATTCAACTTCTTTAAGGTATTATTGATTATTTATCATCTAGGAATCGGAAATTAGCTATTTGCATTCGTTGTTTGAGTAAAACATTTCCTAAAAATACTTAAAAAAAATGATGTTGTAGTAAATGATTCGACAAACTCATGTGACACAAGTGACACAAAATGAATAAAAATCAACTCAATGATGGCCAAGAGATGGAGATGATGATGTGGCGATTATAGAATAATGCTAAATTAGCTTGATTTTTGAATGTTTAGCATTACTCTTTTATATTCCTTGTTTTAGGCTTTTTGATATATGAAATATGTTCACGGTGTAAAAAGCCTGGTATTTTCCAATGTAAAAAGTTTTTCTCTAATTAAGAATTTAGTATGGTTTCATTGGTCTTAATGGTTCTCTTTTCTACCACCCAGGATATCTTTCACCCCTGTAGTGCAACAATTTTGATGAGCTCCAGAGCCGGCCGTGGGATAAACGTTACTAGAGTTTGCAACTTACAGGTGTGCGTTATGAAGTTGTCTATGCTTCAGTGCTGCTAGTTCTTGTAGAAGTAGCTCTTATTTCATTTTATTTTATTTTTATTTTGCTGAAAAGTTTGCATGTGTGGGTTGATATATTTTAATGTAATTTTTCTGGTTGAAATCTAAAATCTCATAATGGGTTTTCTCAATTCATTGATGGTAAACCGCGAGAAGGATGCCTAGGGTATTGATTGGTTATTCTCTACCTTAGTTGGAACACCCATATCTTGTGCCTTGTGCATACCAATGGGAATCATTGACACGATACCTCTATTTCTTCTCAAACAATTTGAGGCCTATTACTGCTACAATTATATCATAACATCCTATGCCAACTTGCAAGTATGGAATGTGATTGGTAGCAATGCAACTTGAGAGAGAGATTAAGTGATCTATAGGTTGATATATCATATTATCATCAACTTTGCAGTGAAGTGACAATATTAGTTTGTAGCAACTGTGTTGAATTTGTATTTCATGGGCATTGTAGAAGGTAACTAAAGTATACCATCAAAAGATAAAATATAATGTGCTTTACCCTTTAATAGAGTTATATTCCTCATTATCATTTGATTTGCAATGAAGTGGTAATGTCAGCATGGTGTAGCAGTGCTGAAATTGTATTTAATAGGTAGTCGAAAAATAATGCTAATTATATACAATAAGAAATAGAACACAATGGGGTTCACTTGTTAAAGGAGTTATATCTGTGTGAGAAGATGATCAATCATTGTAGTCAATAGGAGAAGATTACCATGCAACATAAAAACCAAAAAATCAGTCACAAGAATTCACATAGACTTATTTATTTGTATGAAAGTAAGCACACCTGGAGAACGAAGACGCTTGGTATCCTTATTTACTAGTAAGAGCCCTAAAATATACTACAGTTTATAGGGATTTATGGACTTCTTTTACTCATCCTAATTAGAGTAAGATTATGAAATCAGAAAAAATCGGAGTTTTCTTATTATTTGGATGGAATTAGTTGCCACTCATTTGTGTGTCTCTACTGGGATTATGGTGAAATAGATCCAACCAAATAAATTTCATCTATCTTATGGAAAAAATAATCCAATCAAGGTCATGATCAATTGAGATGAGTAAATTATTTTTCAAGACTCTTGAATCAGTAAAGAAAAATTAGAAGTATAGCAGTGAAAAAAGTAAAGCATGGGACCATGCTATTCTATAAAGCTTGATAAGATTTTTCATATTTTGAGTTTATTTTGCGCTTCCTACTGTCATATATCTCAGTAATCTGAAGAAATAATTCTCTCTGCTTATATGAAATTTCTGCTGGTGGAAACTTGGTTAATGTTTTTGCCAATATGTTTTCAGTTACTAATTTAAAATTCCATTGTTGATGAAGGCAGATACATCGAAGGGAATTGGCTAAGGATTCTTATAGCCTGGAAAAGTTTGAGAGTAATTTCCTGTTTCTACCCTTGTTATTTTTATTCGCTATCTCATTTTAGTGGCTGACTGTCAGCTTTGTGTAGTTTAGGTTGGATTTAGCTAGGGTAACACAAACTGTCATAAATAGTCAGTCATTTCAGCATAATACAAGCCTGATTGGGTGTTGCTCTTGGCATGTACATTCTCTTCTGCTTAAACAGTTCTAAAAAACTCCTAGTTGATGTTTATTCTATATTTTAGAAACAGGTTCGAAAAAATAGAAGGGAAGGAAGCTCTGCCATCTCATTTTCAGATCGGTTAGAAGTTTAGCTGTCTTTCAAACGATTTACTGATCTGCTCTGATCTTTCTTAGTTTTAAGAATCAAAGATTGTATTTTCAGTCAGTATTCGGTATTGCTTTCAATATTAGGGGTCAATAATCATCCTTACATATGTATGATTTATTTATTTTATTTAATGAGTTTGCTGATTGTGAAGTCAACTTACTTAGTAGTTTAAACTTTGAAATGGTTAAACCTCATAACTCTTCATGTTAATCAGATCATTGTTCTAGATTTGACTGAATAGTGTTGGCTCTGCCCAATCAAGGCCTCTGCATTTCCTTCCGTTGATTATATTGTCCAATTATAGGGGTCTACTTTTGCAATGAAGTTATTATGATAGAATAATATTGTCTTTTTATAGAGTTACCAGCATGTAAAATACATCAGACACATTTTCAGCCCTAAGCTGTACATTTTATGAATTATATAAGGTATCATCTTTTAATATCAGCCTTCGATTGCAGATTCCTTGAGGAAGCTTTTGACCATTGAGGAGAATTTAGTTGTGAAAAGGCTAATAACTCAGGCATCTGCACTATCATTTGGATCCAGCTCGTGGTTGATTTCTGCACAAGTGGCAAACGCGGGTGAAAATGTCAGAACGGATGCGATTTATGAAGTTGGGGAATTATTTGAATTGGGAATTCAGCTATCTTATCTACTTTTACTATTAGGTTTGCTTGGACTTGGTACCTTCTTTGTGATTCGTCAAGTCCTTGTACGTAGAGAACTTGACCTTTCTGCTAAAGAATTACAGGTGAGACTGTTTTATTTCAGTATAGTTTTTGAATGAATTTGCAATATCTGATGTTGAATTTCTACGCATCCTTCATAGTGTTTTGCTGGCTACAAGATAGTATTATTAGAAGAATGAAGACACTCTGTAGACAGTGGCCCTTTGCTATTGTTACTCACATGATTCTTATTTTTCATGTTGCCATTTGATTTAGGAACAAGTGAGAAGTGGTGATGCCAGTGCAACTGAGCTTTTTGAACTTGGTGCAGTGATGTTGAGAAGGAAATTTTACCCGGCTGCTACTAAGTACTTACTTCAGGCAATCGAAAAATGGGATGGAGATGATCAAGATCTCGCCCAGGTATGATTATAGGCATTGTGCATTTCCTTGTGTTAATTTCGTTGTCGCATATCTCTGTTCTGTCTTAAGGTTGCTTACAATTTATCTGCAGTAGTCTAACTGAAAAGATATTACAATTAAAGCCATAGCATTTGTTTATTGCCTTTCATCTGTCTTGCCTTGATCTGCAGTATTCTCTTGGGTATCTTTTGTCCTACCGTCCTTAAGCTTGGATTATTAATCATCGTGATGGTAAATGCTGTAATTGAGTTGTATGATAACAATCATAAACTACAATAAATTGGGTTCAGTGGAACTAAGAAGTTATGCATTATGTTATTGCAAGACCATTACCAATATTGGTACTTGAATCAGGCTGATTATAGATCGTTGTTTTAAGAGTTCTGATTATTGGTTAGTTATCTTCTATATTTCTTGTAATTTATATTTCTGCTTCTGACATTGACTGGTAGGAGCTAAGAGTTGTCACTGGCCTTGAGTTTTAACTTCTAGTCTTCTACCCAATTTATATATTTAGAAAACCCAAGAGAAGTAAATGATGTGTCAGAAACTATTTGGACAGGTTTACAATGCTCTTGGTGTCAGTTATGTACGCGATGGAAAGCTTGAGAAAGGAATCACTCAGTTTGAAACTGCTGTGAAGCTCCAACCTGGCTATGTGACAGCCTGGAACAACCTTGGTGACGCCTATGAAAAGAAGAAAGACTTGAAGTTAGCTCTCAAGGCTTTTGAAGAAGTGCTGCTTTTCGATCCTAACAATAAGGTGGCACGGCCTCGACGTGACGCATTAAAGGATCGTGTGAAACTTTACAAAGGAGTCCCTGTCAAATCAAAAGAAAGATGATTTTGTCGCGGTAAGACTGACCCTGTAGTTCCTTTCATATTCTCAACCTTATTTATCTTCTGAAAAATTTTGATTCCTTACACAGTATGTTCTAATTTATGAAGCGATGAAACCAAATCAATATTTAAGATAGATGGTTCTAACGGTCATTTTTCAAAACTTTGGAAGTAGAACAAATAGTTCTAGGGTCGATTAAGATTGATTGGAAAGGGAAACGTTAAAATAAGACATACAAAAATCTGAGAAAAACTTAATCTAATTACTCAAGATTGACGAGGATAAAGTCGAATCGGGAGTCTTTTGGCCGGCACTAAAATTGGGTCCCTTATCATTTGCTCATCAGGAAACACCTTCTCCCACCTAAATCTTTTGACCAAATGATGCATGAAGACAAGTATTTGCAATCTAGCGTACTCTCTTCCAGGACAAACATGAGTACCTCCTCCAAATGGAACATATGAATAAGGAATTATTTTATTCCCTTCAAATCTTGATGGGTCAAACTTATCTGGCTCTGGGAAATATTCTGAGTTTTTATGCGTGGCATGTACCGCTCGATGCAACTGTCAAACATGAAGGAAAAATGGCCGATTAGTTTCGAAAATGCAATACCTAGGAGAGTTTTTATTATCTAGACACTACTGCAAATAAGGCTTGCCCCGATTCANAAAATTGGGTCCCTTATCATTTGCTCATCAGGAAACACCTTCTCCCACCTAAATCTTTTGACCAAATGATGCATGAAGACAAGTATTTGCAATCTAGCGTACTCTCTTCCAGGACAAACATGAGTACCTCCTCCAAATGGAACATATGAATAAGGAATTATTTTATTCCCTTCAAATCTTGATGGGTCAAACTTATCTGGCTCTGGGAAATATTCTGAGTTTTTATGCGTGGCATGTACCGCTCGATGCAACTGTCAAACATGAAGGAAAAATGGCTGATTAGTTTCGAAAATGCAATACCTAGGAGAGTTTTTATTATCTAGACACTACTGCAAATAAGGCTTGCCCCGATTCAGAATCGGTGTTGGAAACAAAGTTCTTGTGTTCCCTGGTGCAAAAGAAGGCGCCGGTATTTCACCACGCTATGGTTGTTGGGGACATTATGCCCTGATGCCACAATCCCAAGACCCCACTCGCGTCAAGGCAGGCCTTTGCCGCTTTCCAAGGCTTGCTTGGGGTCGGGGCACAGAGCCGGCCACAGTCCCATGTTTGTGGGCGGCCCATGCAGGTGGACTAATTAGTTGAGAGTGTTGTAGCTTGGATTACCTTCCATCCCTTTGGAATTAGATATCCATCAAAGTTGAAGTCAGTAATGGCCTCTCTGAAAGGTGATGCAATTGTTGGCTGCAATCTTAAGGCTTCACTTGCAACATTCCATGAGTAGATCATCTTTTTTACGTCCTCCAAACTCAATGACTCTTCTGTTCCTTTTGAATTTGCTACCTCCATTTGCTCTGTTGCAAGCATACGTATAACGAAGAAATAATTCAGGAAAAAAAAAAAAAAAATTTATGCACAATAATTTATCCATATTTTCACACATTATATTTCGTGCATAATCAATATTTCCTTTATCTTTTCAGATTTCAGAGCTCTTGTTATCTACTAGTTATAAATTTTTAAGTGGGACATTCATATTTATTTATTTTTTTAAGATTTACACTCCTATTAGTGTCAGTAAAACACTATATGGTAAAATTTTACCTTTATCAATACGAAGAAAATTGACTGAAATTTTTTTTTTTTTAGTGTAGAAGAGTGATAATAAGCTATTTATCAACATTAATAAACGAGATCTACATCTTAAAAAAATGCAGACGTGACATATTGTTTGATTGAAAAGCCAACGGTGGAAACAATGTTTTTTGTATTGTTTCATAATTTATACTCAAATATTTTTGAGGACATCTATTTCTAAACCCAAATTTTAAAGTTGGGAAGAACACTGAATTAAATTCAATAAATATAGTCAGCATACCTCTGTAGACTTCTTCATAAAATTCAGGTAGTTCTGCAAGATACTTGAGAATAGAAGCTAAAGTGGTGCTTGAATTGTCATATGCAGCAACTATATTCCCCAATATCAATACAGCAACTTCTGATTCAATTACCTCTTCATTATCCTTCAATTTCTGAACTATAAGCAATGTCAAGAAATCTTTTGATGAATCTTCAGATCCACTAACATTCTCCATAATCTCCATCTTCCTCCTCCTTATCATTACCTCGAACTTCTTCCGGATCTCCTTCGACGCCCTCACCGCCTGGTTAAATTTCGTCCCTGGGAAGTTTACAGGCAAAGAAATCATCCCAGACATTATGCAGCTGAACAGCTTCTCGAGCTCTTCGATGGTTCCCGAATCCTGAACGTTTAACATTAATCTACAGGATAATGTGAAGGTGAAGTTCTTTAACAGAGGATGAGCTACAACTTCTTGTTTGCCATCCCAGAATTTTTGCAGGTGCTCTTTTGCTATAGCTTCGATGATTCCTAAGTTTTTTCTTAGTGCTTCAGGCTGGCTGAAGAATGTGGCAACCGTTTTCCGGATGCTCGTGATCTCCTCCGGTGATTCGCTCAGTTTGTTATCAGACTGACCGAAAATTTTGTCGAAGGTTTTCGGGTACCAGGGTTTGACAAGCTTGTTGTCGTTGGAGAAGAGGAATTTGTTTCCCTCAGGTGTGCACATGAAGACCATGGTTTGGCCAACATATGAGGTCTTGAAAATCTTGGATTGATATTTTTTTTGCCTCTCTGATATGAACTTTTCGATGCAATTCTTCCTGGCCATTGAAATGTACTCGAAAGTTTCGCCGATGATTGGCCAGCCTGTGCTTCCTGGTGGGAGTTTGAGTTTTTCATTAGTGGGTTTGGTTTTGAACGCAATGGAGAAGAAGAAGAGGATAAAAGAAATGAAGAGTATGAGTGAGAGGAGAAGGGAGAAGAGTTCCATGATTTTAGTTGTGTTTTGTGGATAATATAGAGATGGGTTGATGCAATCGTTGAAGCAAGGCTTGAGTTTGGGATCCTTATAGGCCAAATTGAGAGAGAGTCTAGCGGAAAGTTGCCATTAATTAGCGATAGGTTAATCATGAATTTATTATTGAGTGATAATGCTACAATGTTGGAAGTAACAATTACGTTACGTTCAACATTTGTGAACTATCTAACTGGTTACCTTTTGTTTGAGTTGAACATTTCTCAATTATCTAAAAGATTTTTTTTTTTTGATAATCGGGGTATCTAGGTTATCTTGCGTGTACTTCATTTAATCTCTTGGGTTTATTAAACACCCTATAAACCCAAAAGATCAGGTAAGACACCATGTTATTGTGATAGGTGACCCAAAGAACTCAAAGAAGTGAGCAGTAGCGAATCCAAAAATTTTTGTTAGGGTAGGCCAAAATAAAAACTAATTACATATTAATATTTTTGTTAGGATGGACCAAAATCCAGAAATTATATATATTAGTATTTTTTAAAATAAAATTGAGGGTGAACTGGATCCGCCCCTGGAAGTGAGCAACCCTCGTTGATTGGCAAACCAATCCCTTGGGGTTAATTATCTAAAAGGTTAGTCTACTCATATAAATCTAAGACTAAAACTATGCCTATATGATGTGATTATATAGGACAATTGGACTCAAGTTTGTTGAACTTGAATAATAGATAATAATACTAGTAAGGAGTAACGTTACCTCTATCCTTATATGGAATATCATGAATTACTTATATGAACAGACGGTCGACGATTATTAGAGTAATTTAATGATCTTGTTTGACAAGTAATATTACCCAATAGCATAACATGTTGTAACTATATTTGTCATATATACACTAAAATTGGTCTTCGTTTCCAAGAAGAAAATTCTTCTTTCAACATTGATTGACGTAATTCTAGTCCATAGTGTGTATGTAATTGTTGTTGTGACTATTTCTATTGGGGCGGCTGGATCAATCACCACGTACAATGACTTAAAGAGTATCTCCATCTTGGACTTCCATTATAGCCACAACACTGTATGATCAAATAAAGTGAGATGCCGTTATTATTGGTAAAATAATTAAAATCTAGCTCTAATTACACTCAAAATTACACCCCCATTATCTCTTCTTACTTATTATGTTATTGTTATTTCAAGTCATTGTTACATTAATTTTTTTTCTTTTAAAAAAAAAATTGAACCCATTTCAACCAATTGTTTAGACAAAATTTCTCATAATTATGACTAATCCAAGTCAAGAATTTCCTTCCAAGTCTTGATATGAAATTTTGTTATGTCTGGCATCATTCCAAATGCCGCCCTTGACGCTGCTCAGCCTGCACTGCAGTAGCCGGTTTATAATTAAAAATTATTTTCATAATTATTAACTTAATAAAGTTTCAAATTAACCATCAAGTTTTTTAGGAATGGTTAGTCGTTCGGTCAGGCGATTCTACCCATGGCCGACTCTCAATTTTTTTTTTTAAAATATTAATATGTCAATTCTAGATTTTGACTCCTAACAAAAAATATAAGAAAAAATATAATATACAATTAGTTTTTATTTGTCCCATCCTAACATAAATTTATGGATCCGTTATTGGTTGGAGTCTCTTCCTTCTAAAGGACAATTGGGTTAGCCTTATTTATAGATTTCACTTGTCATATTGACCCTCTTCTTCTCGTTAATTGTTTTTTGTTTTGCTAAACAAAAAACCAAACTTCTAACTCAATTATTTGACAGTAAAAAGCCACCATAGTGGAGGAAATCACGTTAATTCTGCCACTGAGTTTGAAAAACCCAGATTCTTTTTGAACATAAGTTGCACTTTCAATCTTTTAAAGTTTAAGTCTTCTATTTGATCTGTTTGGATTAGAGAAAACTAAACCGAAGTAATCTTTACATAGTCAAAAAGATATTTATCAATGGAATTAATTAATTCCTGTATATAAACCTCACATTCTCCATGGTGAGAAAAAATTTCGAAAAAGAAAAGGGAGATTTTCATAAATACCTGTAAGGTTTAGCTAAATCTAATAGTTAAATTTGTGACACTTTTACAAGAAATCATCAAGAACTACCTCAACCTCCGCCGTCTAAGTCCGTTAAATTAAATTTGAATTTATAAAATTATTATTTTACGCTCACCTTATTTTTTATAAAATATGTCAGATTAATAACTAAAGTATTACAATAAACCATACAAAATTAGAAAAAAGCAAGACAATTACTATAGAAATTAATTTTATAAGAATGAATAAAAAAAAATTAATAAGGGTCATTTGCTTCTTGTCGCCTCTTCTTGGGTCCGTCCATAACTATACTTTATCCCTTAAATCACTTGCGAGTAACTCTAGAAAAAATCATCTAACACTTAAAGAGGACGACATAAAATTGATCACAAGGCGTAAAGTAGGACAATTTAGTCTTTACAAAAGATGCTTGAAGATGTTAAGAAAGCAATCTACTCATGGATGAATAATTGAGCTTAAGATAATTGCAGTACATTTTACTGTCCCAAATATTAATTAAATTTTGATCTCTCGTAGCTTTGGGACCCAGTATCACGAGTTGAGAGTTTACCCCAACTATCTATTAGATGGAGAGACTCTCCAATACGCTTTCAATGTGATTGGTTACATTCTCCCCCACCCAATCATGTGAAGCTCTCGTTACAGGTGGGACCCCTTTGCCTTCTCGCCCACCTCACTCTCGTGTGACCCATAATCACATGTGAGCGCCCTTGCATGGGTGCTTGGTGGGACATCGAAACGGATTGAGTATGTTCTAATACCATTTGTCATAGTTGGAGTTTCACACTTAGATAGAGGGACTCCCCCGTTTATAAGCTCAGGACATTCTCAATACCTGTTGATGTGGGATTGGTTACACTAGGTATGCACGAGTTCGGTTTGCTTTTACGTTTCATGCAAATGTTTATAACCCAAAACACGTTTACTTAATTAAAGTGACACATCACTTTATAAATAGAATTAAGATTCATTCGCGAATGATACAAGATATGACATAAATAGTAAAAAGAAAAATTACGATTTTGATACGACAAAGTTTAACGAATTTTCGAATTTAATTGCATACGACACTAGTAAACCATTTACTACATTGATCATCCAACGAAGTCTGTATTTAAGGTTTCATGAGAAACGGACTAATTACGTGTACAAATTTATAGATAGCTTAAACATAGAAAAAACAAACTAAGTAGATAAATGACGCTAATAGCTCGCAGTTCATGGCGATAAGATGAATTGGGAGTCTTTGGCCGGCCTTAATTGGATCCCTTATCATTTCCTCATCCGGATCACCTTCTCCCCCCTAAATCTTTTAACCAATAATGAATGAACACAGTATTTGTAATCAGCATACTCTCTTCCAGGACAATATGAGCTCCTCCTCCAAATGGAACATATGAATAAGGAACTATCTTGTTTTCATGGAATCTTGATGGGTCAAATTTATCTGGCTCTGGAAAATACTTTGCTTTTTATTGTGCCGTGTACTGCCCGATGTACTGTGAAGCACGACGAAAAATTAAGATGGTCACAGACATAATTTAGTAATTCAAAACGTTTATTGTTGGTAGTTATTTTGAAGAATATACATAGTCAACAACCTATTTTTCTAATTCAAAAACATTTGTTGTTGGTAGTTTGTGAAGGAGAAATCAATGTATGTTGCATTTGACCAATGAGAAGTGTATTCATAATAAACTTTTTGTGTTAATTAGTGTTTACATGATATTTTCATTTTGACATTAGTAATTGATTTTGTATTTTAACTCTTGGATTATATATATATTATATAAAGTTGAACTTCTACTTCTATTTAAGCTTTCAAGTGGAATGGCAACTTATATTAACATCTTTATGTCGAAAATTTCAAGTTTGGAGTTTGCAAAAATACATGAGAATATGTTTATCATTTAAGATTAGTTGAGTATATTTATGCTATTCATTACTTTCCATCCCTGGAATTAAAATCCGTCAAAGCTAAGTCGGTAATGGCCTCTCTGAAAGGTCCAGCTTGTTGGTTGCAACCTTAACACTTCACTTACAACATTCCATGAGTAGCTCATCTTTTTTATATCCTCCAAATTCAAAGCTTCTTCTTGTCCTCTACAATTTGCTATCTTCATTTGCTCTTTTTGATTCAATCGATAATTGGTTTGAGTATCATCCCAAAAAGAGAGAGAATATTGTTAGTTTCAGAAGTCAATGATGAAACACAACTCTGTTTTTTTATTTTTATTAATTCATGTTTGTATGAAGTAATATAATTCTACTCGGAGATAAACATTAGTAAATTTGTTCAGTTAATTAAGGCAAAATTCTAACTTTTCAATAGAAAACAAGATTTCATAGATTTAGTTTTTTCCTTGTTCCATTTAGAATCCTTTTAAAAAGTTAAAAAACAAGAATGATAAAGAATAGGGTAATACACATGTACAAAGAACTAACAAAGATTTCTTGCAAAAGGTGTCGGAGATTAATAGAAGACTGAATATGATGAGTTTGACTTTCTATATTCACTCTTCCATTCATCTCCTGCCAGCTCACTTGTACAAATAGTTTTTGTAAATTTCTTTGTACGTTTGCATTATTGTAAAGAATAATCTCAACACATACATAAAAAGTATATAATATTAGACATACAAACTCTATATATATACAAACTGATCCAACACAAATATACAAATAAATGTATATGAAAAACTAACTCACTAAATAAATAAGAATAATGCTATAGTACTAACTCACTAAATAAATAAGAATAATGTTATAGTAAAGAGTTATGCCCAATTTTATAAAATAGTTTAGGGTGCGTCTGTTTTATTATTCCCTATCATATTCCCAAAATACATGTTTGTTTAATTATTTGGGAAATACTATTCTATTTTTTAATTCATTTTAGACCCCTTAAGTTTATTAATTTAATTAAACACCCCTAAAAAAGTTTAAAAATTAACAAAAATACCCTCACCCACCCATAGTTACCAGATTCCGGCAACCACCGTCGGCGATTGCCAGAATCTGTCACAACGGCATAGAAACGACCGGAATTGGCCAGTAATTTGCCGATCTGACCTTGTTTGGTTAGATTCACAGTGGATCTGGCGAAAAGGTTAGATATGGCTGTCAACGATAGCCAAATCTGGCCTTTTGAGGCAGTCGACGGTTAGATCCACCATGGATCTGGCCGGAAATGGCCATATCGATGCACGACAGCCTAGATCCGACCGGTCTACAACGTAACGTCATTTTCAGCCAGATTCCGATGGTGGTGGTCGGAATCCGGCACTGTGGGTGGGTGAGGGTGTTTTTATCATTTTGCAAAAAAATTATATATTGGGGTGTTTAGTTAAATTAAAAAACATAAGGGGTTTTTTGTTAATTTTTAAATTTTACCTCGTAATACTCACCCTATTCAACTGCTCAATATTATTCCCAAAATCATATCCAAAATAACAAAACAAACGCACCATTATATATTTTAACAATTTTACATCACATCAGTTTATATAAAATAATTTATATACTTTAATAATTTATCTGAAAATAGCGAGAGAGAAAATGTGTAGGGTCACACTATAGTATCAGCAGGCTATTTGGTCACGTGTTAACAAACAATAGTGTCCTCTTCCATGCAAATTCACAAATTATGCCGACTCAAATTTAACTTTTGTGTCTTCTTTCTTGGAGTCTTGTATTTTGCATATGAAACTCCACTATCAATTTGCTGAACGCATTGAAAGAAAATTAAACTTAATTGAATTGAAATACCTCTGCGGACTTCTTCATAAACTTGAGGCAGCTCAGCAAGATATTTGACAGTGGAAGCTATGGTGGTGCTTGTACTGTCATAAGCAGCAACAATGTACACTAAAATCATGTTGGCGATTTCAGATTCGATCACCTCTTCATTCTCCTTGATTTTCTCCAGAATCAACAAGGACAACAAATCTTTAGATGAATCTAAAGACTTATCAATATTCTCCAGGATTTCAATCTTCCTCTTCCTAACTATCTCCTCAATCTTCTTTCGAATCCCTCTCGACGCTTTGATTGCTCGGTTAAATTTTGTCCCAGGAATGTTTATAGGCAATGCAAACATCCCACTCATTATGCAATTAAACAATTTCTCAAGCTCTTCAACCGTCGCCGAATCCTGAACGTTTAACATCAATCGAAACGATATCGTCAGAGTATACTTCTTCGCTAGAGAATGGGCAACAACTTCTTTGCAATCAATCCAATGCGTCTGTAAATGCTTTCTTGCAATGGAATCAATTATTCCGACATTTTTTTGCATTGCATCGAGCTGGTTGAATAATGTAGACACATTTTTGCGCATGCTGGCGAGCTCGTGCTTCTTGCTTTCGCTTAATTTATCCAAAACCTCAAAGATTTTGCCGATGTTTCTTGGCCACCAGGGCTTCAAAAGCTTGTTCTCATTCGCGAACATGAATTTATTTGCCTCTGGGCTGCACATGAACACCATTTTTTCGCCGGCATATGAGGTCTTGAAAAGGTTGGAGGAGTATTTCTTTTGCCTCTCAGATATGAATTTTTCAACGCAATTCTTTTTGGCAAGTGAAATATATTCAAGAGTTTCACCAATGAATGGCCAGCCTGTGCTCCCCGGAGGGAGCTCAAGTTTTTGCCTTGTGCGTTTGATTTTTGACTCATAAAAGAGAGAGTAAAGGGTGAAAAGTATGGAGAAAATTGATAAAACTAAGAAAAGGAATACAAGTTCCATAACTTGGTTTCTTTTTGATGAATTGATTAAATTGTTGAAGACAAAGGGTTGCGTTGGACGATATTTATAGGAGAATTTGAGAGAAAATTTAGGAGCAATTTATTATAGTTTTGTCGAAGATCTATAAACTATTAGGTGAGGGTCAACATATATTAGGCTAATATGCTCTCTCACATCAAACTTGGATTTTTTTTTTTTTCATTTTCTTTATCCAGTTTGTATTTGGAGATTCGAACTTGAGATTTTTTACTCTAATGCTATGTTAAGTTGTTATCTAACCTAAAAGCTTAAGCTAGTAATAAGTGAGGGCCCAACATATGTTAGACCAATAAACCAATGTTTTAATAACTAACCTGAGGTGAAACTTAGTAAAGTGGTCAGGTCTTGAGTTGATCGGTTGAACAGGTCTAATCGATAGGTCAAACTAGTGACGTTAACATGTCCATAGGTTTGAAATCCAACAAACACACTCCTTGTGATATAGCCAAATACAAATTGGCGGTCGACTAGTTGGCGACAACGATATACCAAATGCAAATCACACTTATCCTTTGAGCCATTCTCTAGGAAATTTGCCCAAGATCTAGTCGAAATCAAACCATTATCCACAAAAAAACCACCACCGTGTGCGACTACCAACCCAGGTCAAATAGGCATGTTTTCGACATTGACAACTGCCCCAATCACTACGAAAACATTTCCCTCAACCTCTTGACCAAAACCCATCTCAACAACCCCCCCTTCCCCCCTTGTTCACCTCGTCAATTGTCGGCAATAGCCCGTTGTTGTGGTCACACGACTTTTGCCTTTTTTGGTCGTTTCACTCATCAGAAATCTCCTCCTTCACCAACTTTTGACTCATCGGCATTTCCTCTCTAAAACCCCCAACAGCCTTGCTATCGTTTGCTCACCGATTACCGCCCTCCTTTCTAGGGTTTGCTTCTTCATGAATTTGGAGTTTTAAATAGTGGACAAGGGTGACTTGGCCCGGTAAAGGTCCTAGTTTCCGTTCCGATTGGTTAAACTAGTTGGGTCGGGTTGGGCCGGGTTTTAAAACATTGCTATAAACTTAAAATGAAGGAAGTTTAGTACTAGTCCTTGTATGCATTTGTTTTGCTTATCCAAGAGGAGAAATTTCGTTAATTAATTTCTTAAGTATGATTGTAAATTTGTAATATAAGATGAGGATTAAAGAATGAAATATACATGTTTCGATTAGGATGAATGGTCATTTTTCTTAATAAAACCAACATTACTTTAAAATAATAATAATAATAATAATAATAAACGTTTTACGTTTTAATCATGAGAGCCGGCTCCGGCATAAAGCAAGAGCTGTGAGATAGTCGCCTAATTTGGTTCCATTTTGTGTTTTACTGAAGCATACTCTCTTTCAGGACAAATATGAGCTCTCCTCAAATGGAAAATAGAATAAGGAACTATCTTGTTTTCATGGAATCTTGATGGGTCAAATTTATCTGGCTCTGGAAAATACTTTGCATTTTTATGTGTGCCGTGTACTGCCCGATGTAACTGTGAAAGCACGACGAAAAATTAAGATGGTCAGCAACATAATTTGGTAAATTCAAAACGTTATTGTTGGTAGTTATTTTGAAGAAGATACATAGTCAACAACCTAGTTTCAAAATTCAAAAACATTTGTTGTTGGTAGTTTTGTAGAAGGGAAATCAATGTATGTGCATTTGACCAATAAGAAGTGTATCATAATAAACTTTTGTGTAATTGGTTTACATTGATATTTCATTTGCTGACATTGTAAATTAATTTTGTATTTTAACTCTGGGATTATATATATATATATATATATAAAGTTAAACTTCTATTTACTTTAAGCTTTAAGAGGCCATTGAGGATCGTGGGAGCAATCCAGGTATGCTCTTGATACCATGAGAATGTTAGGAAAACAACCACGCTTTGAGTGGTGAGAGTTTGCATATATAATAAATATTCATTATAGAGGTATAAGTAATTACACATAAATGTTGATTACAAAATAAATGGAGAATTAGCTAAACAAGCTCCTGTAATTGAGGGTCAAAGGTTGACATATGGAAGGTCAAGATTAGGGCAGAGGATCCTCAATAGTAACTTCCATTGACAACCTTTTTGCTTATGTAATCCCTAATTCAACAGGCCAACACATGACTTTTGGATCTTTAGAGTTAAGATAGTTGAGCTTAACGATAATTGCAGTACATTTATTGTCTAGAAATATTAATTAAAAGTTTGAACTCTCGTAGCTTTGGGACCTAGTTCACCCCAAAAGACTAACTATTAGGTGGAGGGACTTCCCCTCTTATAAGCCTAGGACCTCCCCAATACGCTTTTGTGTTGGATTGGTTACATTCTCTCCCACCCAATCCTATGACGCCCTTGTTACAGGCGGGGCCCTCTGCCTTCTCGCCCACTTCACTCTTATGTGGACCCATAATCACATGTGGACGCCCCTGCGTGGGTGCTTGGTGGACATTAAAAGACAGATCAGGTCTGTTTATACCACTGGTCACGGGTTAAGAGTTTCACACCTAAAAGGCTAACTTATTAGGTGGAGAGACTCTCCCCATTCATAAGCTCAGGACCTCCAATACGCTTTCGATGTGGGTTGACTAGTTATGCACAAGTTGGAGTTTGCTTTACGTTTCACGCAAATGTTATAACCCAAAACACGTTTACTAATTAGAGTGACACATACTTTATAATTAGAATTACAGATTCATTCACTAATGATATAGGATGTGACATAAATAGTAAATGGAAAAAATTACGATTTTTGATACGACAAAGTTTAACTGAATTTCGAATTTAATTGTATACGACACTAGTAAACCATTTACTAAATTGATCATCCAAGTCCATATTTAAGGTTTGCAGAGAAACGGACTAATTATGTGTACAAATTTATAGTAGATTATACCCAAAAACAAGTAGTAAAAGGAAAAAATGATACAGGATGTGACAAAATAGTAAAGGAAAAAAATTACGATTTTGATACAACAAAGTTTAACTGAATTTTCGAATTTGATTGTATACGACACTAGTAAACCATTTACTAATATTGTCATCCAAGGCCATTTTAAGGTTTGCATGAGAAACGGACTAATTACGTGTACCAATTTATAGTAGAATACCCAAAACAAAGCTTAAACAATAGAAGAAAACAAAACAAGTAAAGATAAACTGACGCTATAGCTCAGCAGGATTCATGGCGATAAAGACGAATTGGGAGTCTTTTGCCGGCCTTAGATTGGATCCTATCATTTCCTCATCCGGGATACTTCTCCCACCTAAATCTTTTAACCAAATAATGATGAACACAAGTATTTGTAATCGAGCATACTCTCTTCCAGGACAAAATGAGCTCCTCCTCCAAATGGAACAATGAATAAGGAACCATCTTGCTTTCATGGAATCTTGATGGGTCAAATTTATCTGGCTCTGGAAAATACTTGCATTTTATGTGTGCCGTGTATGCCCGATGTAACTGTGAAAGCACGACGAAAAATTAAGATGGTCAGCAAAATTTAGTAAATCAAAACGTTATTGTTGGTAGTTATTTGAAGAATATACATAGTCAACAACCTAAGTTTCAAAATTCAAAACATTTGTGTGGTAGTTTTGTAGAAGGAGGAATCAATGTATGTGCATTTGACAATGAGAAGTGTATTATTATATAACTTTTTGTGTTAATTAGTGTTTACATTGATATTTTCATTTTTGACATTAGTAAATTAATTTGTGATTTTAACTCTTGGATTATATATATATATTATATCTATATATAAAGTTGAACTTCTACTTCTTATTTAAGGTTTAAGTGGAATGACAACTTAATATTAACAATTCTTTACGGGAAAATTCAAGTTTAGAGTTTGCAAAAATACATTGATATATGTATTTATCATTTAAGATTAGTTGAGTAATTTATGCTATTCATTACCTTCCATCCCTTGGGAATTAGAAATCCGTCAAAGCTGAAGTCGGTAATGCCTCTCTGAAAGGGCCAGCAATTGTTGGTTGAACCTTAACACTTCACTTACAACATTCATGAGTAGCTCATCTTTTTATATCCTCCAAATTCAAAGCTTCTTCTTGTCCTCTGCAATTTGCTATCTTCATTTGCTCTTGTATTCAATCGGATAATTGGTTTGAGTATCATCCCAAAAAAGAGAGAGAATATTGTTAGATTCAGAAGTCAATGATGAAACACAACTCTCTTTTTTTGTTTTTTTATTTTTTTATTTTTATTAATTCATGTTGTATGAAGTATAATATAATTCTACGGAGATAAACATTAGTAAATGTTGCAGTCAATTAATGCAAAATTTCAACTTTTCAATAGAAAACAAGATTTCATAGATTTAGTTTTTTCCTTGTTCAATTTAGAATCCTTTTAAAAAGTGAAAAAACAAGGAAATGATAAAGGATGGGTAATACTACATGTACAAGAAAACTATACAAAGATTTCTTGTACAAAGTGATGTGTCAGGAGATTAATAGAAGACTGAATATGATGAGTTTGACTTTATATTCACTCTTCCATTCATCTCCTACCAGCTCACTTGTACAAATAGTTTTGTAAATTTTTTTGTACGTTAGCATTATTGTAAGAATAATCTTGACACATACATAAAAAGTATAATATTAGACATACAAACTCTATATATATACAAACTGATCCAACACAAATATACAAATAATGTATATGAAAAACTAACTCACTAAATAAATAAGAATAATGCTATAGTACTAACTCACAAATAAATAAGAATAATGTTATAGTAAAGAGTTATGCCCAATTTTATAAATAGTTTAGGGTGCGTTGTTTATTATTCCCTATCATTTCCCAAAAATACATGTTTGTTTAATTATTGGGAAATACTATTCTATTTTTTAATTCATTTTAGACCCCTCAAGTTTATTAATTAATAAACACCCCTAAAAAAAGTAAAAATTAACAAAAAAAACCTCACACCCATAGTTACAGATTCTGACAACCACCGTCGGCGATTGCCAGAATCTATCACAACGGCGTAGAAATGACCGGAATTGGCTAGTAATTCGCTGATCTGGCCTTGTTTGGTTAGATTCACAGTGGATCTGGCTGGAAAAGGTTAGATATGGCTTGTCAACGATAGCCAAATCTGGCATTGAGGCAGTCGACGGCCAGATCCCCACGGATCTGGCCGAAAAAGGCATTACGATGCACGACAGCCTAATCCGACCGGTCTACAACGTAACGTCATTTTCGGCAGATTCCGTGGTAGTGGTAGGAATCTGACACTGGGGTGGGTGAGGGTGTTTTTATCATTTTGCAAAAAAATTATTATTGGGGTGTTTAGTTAAATTAGAAAACGTAAGGGGTTTTTTTTTATTTTTAAATTTTACCTCGTAATACTCACCCTATTCAACTACTCCATATTATTCCCAAAATCCTATCCAAAATAACAAAACAAACCCACCATATATATTTTGATAATTTTTATCACATCAGTTTATATAAATAAAAATATATTTAATAATTTATCTGAAAATAGCGAGAGAGAAAATGTGTAGGGTCACACTATGGTGTCAGCAGGCTATTTGTCAGTGTTAACAAACAATGTCCTCTTCCTCTATCCTTATATGGAATATCATGAATTACTTATATGAACAGACGGTCGACGATTATTAGAGTAATTTAATGATCTTGTTTGACAAGTAATATTACGCAATAGCATAACATGTTGTAACTATATTTGTCATATATACACTAAAATTGGCCTTCGTTTCCAAGAAGAAAATTCTTCTTTCAACATTGATTGACGTAATTCTAGTCCATAGTGTGTATGTCATTTTTGTTGACTATTTCTATTGGGGCGGCTGGATCAATCACCACGTACAATGACTTAAACAGTAGTCTCCATTTTGGACTTCCAATTATGAGCCACAACAGTTGTATTGATCAAATAAAAGTGAGATGCCATTATTATTGGTAAAATAATTAAAATCTAGCTTTAATTACACTCAAAATTAACACCCCCATTATCTCTTCTTACTTATTTTATGTTATTGTTATAATTCAAGTCATTGTTACATTAATTTTTTTTTTCTTTTAAATAAAAGAAAAAAAAAATTGAACCCATTTCAACCAAACTTGTTTAGACAAAATTTCTCATAATTATGACTAATCCAAGTCAAGAATTTGACTTCAAAGTCTTGATATGAAAATTTTGTTATGTCTGGCATCATTCCAAATGCCGTCCTTGACGGCTGCTCAGCCTGCACTGCAGTAGCCGGCTTTTATAATTAAAAATTATTAACTTATTCAAAGTTTCAAATTAAACCATCAAGGTTTTAGGAATGGTTAGTGGTTGCAGTCTCTTCCTTCTAAATGACAATTGGGTTAATTCTGCCACTGAGTTCTGAAAAACCCAGATTCTTTTTTGAAGATAAGTTGCACTTTCAATTCTTTTAAAGTTTAAAGTCTTCTATTTGATCTGTTTGGATTAAGAGAAAACTAAACAGAAGTAATCTTTACATACAAGTCAAAAAGATATTATCATTAAATGGAATTAAGTTAATTCCTGCATATAAAACCTCACATTCTCCATGGTGAGAAAAAATTTCCAAAAAGAAAAAGGGAGATTTTCATAAAATACCTGTAAGGTTTAGCTAATACTCAAATTTGTGACACTTTTACAAGAAATCATCAAGAACTACTCTTAAACCTCAACGTCGTCTAAGTCCGTTAAATTAAAATTTGAAATTTATATAAATTTATTAGTTTACACTCACTTATTTTTTTTTTATAAAATATATCAGATTAAATAACTAAAGTATTACAAAATAAACCATACAAAATTAGAAAAAAGCAAGACAATTACATATAGAAATTAATTTTATAAGAATAAAAATAAAAATTAGAAGGGTCAGTTGCTCCTTGTCGCCGCTTCTTGGGTCCGTCCATAACTATACTTCATCCCTTAAATCACTTGAAAGTAGACTCTAGAAAAAATCATCTTAAACACTTAAAGAGGACAGACATAAAATTGATCACAAGGCGTAAAGTAGGACAGTTTAGTCTTTACAAAAGATGCTTGAAGATGTTAAGAAAGCAATCTACTTATGGATGAATAATTGAGCTTAAAGATAATTGCAGTACATTTTACTGTCCCAGAAATATTAATAAAAAATTTGATCTCTAGTAGTTGATAGTTTCACACCTAAAAGACTAATCTATTAGATGGAGAGACTTTTTCCATTTATAAACTCATGACCTCTCTAATACGCTTTCAATGTTAGATTGGTTACATTCTCTTCCACCTAATAATGTGAAGCCCTCGTTACAGGTAGGGCCTCCTTGCCTTCTCGCCCACCTCACTCTCGTGTGGACTCATAATCACATGTGGGCGCCCTTGTATGGGTGCCTGGTGGGACATCGAAAAACGGATTGAATATGTTCTGATACCATTTGTCATGAGTTAGGAGTTTCACACTTAGATGGAGGGACTCCCCTGTTTATAAGCTTAGGACATTCTCAATACGCTTTTGATGTGGGATTGGTTACATTAGGTATGCACGAGTTCGAGTTTGCTTTTACGTTTCACGCAAATGTTTATAACCCAAAACACGTTTACTTAATTAGAGTGACACATACTTTATAAATAGAATTACAGATTCATTCGCGAATGATACAGGATGTGACATAAATAGTAAAAGGAAAAAATTATGATTTTTGATACGACAAAGTTTAACTGAATTTTCGAATTTAATTGCATACGACACTAGTAAACCATTTACTAACATTGATCATCCCAACGAAGTCTGTATTTAAGGTTTACATGAGAAACGGACTAATTACGTGTACAAATTTATAGAGAGCTTAAACAATAGAAGAAAACAACTAAGTAAAGATAAAATGACGCTAATAGCTCAGCAGGATTCATGGCGATAAAGATGAATTGGGAGTCTTTTGGCCGGCCTTAAAATTGGATCCCTTATCATTTCCTCATCCGGGATCACCTTCTCCCACCTAAATCTTTTAACCAAATAATGAATGAACACAAGTATTTGTAATCGAGCATACTCTCTTCCAGGACAAATATGAGCTCCTCCTCCAAATGGAACATATGAATAAGGAACTATCTTGTTTTCATGGAATCTTGATGGGTCAAATTTATCTGGCTCTGGAAAATACTTTGCATTTTTATGTGTGCCGTGTACTGCCCGATGTAACTGTGAAAGCACGACGAAAAATTAAGATGGTCAGCAACATAATTTAGTAAATTCAAAACGTTTATTGTTGGTAGTTATTTTGAAGAATATACATAGTCAACAACCTAAGTTTCAAAATTCAAAAACATTTGTTGTTGGTAGTTTTGTAGAAGGAGGAATCAATGTATGTGCATTTGACCAATAAGAAGTGTATTCATAATAAACTTTTTGTGTTAATTAGTGTTTACATTGATATTTTCATTTGCTGACATTAGTAAATTAATTTTGTATTTTAACTCTGGGATTATATATATATATATATATATATAAAGTTAAACTTCTATTTACTTTTAAGCTTTTAAGAGGCCATTGAGGATCGTGGGATGCTAATCCAGGTATGCTCTTGATACCATGAGAATGTTAGGAAAAACAACCACGCTTTGAGTGGTGAGAGTTTTGCATATATATATAAATATTCATTATAGAGGTATAACGTAATTACACATAAATGTTGATTACAAAATAAATGGAAAGAATTAGCTAAACAAGCTCCTGTAATTGAGGGTCAAAGGTTGCACATATGGAAGGTCATAGATTAGGGCAGAGGATCCTCAATAGTAACTTCCATTGACAAGCCTTTTTGCTTATTGTAATCCCTAATTTCAACAGGCCAACACATGACTTTTGAGATCTTTAAGAGTTAAGATAGTTGAGCTTAACGATAATTGCAGTACATTTTATTGTCCTAGAAATATTAATTAAAAGTTTGAACTCTCGTAGCTTTGGGACCTAGTATCACCCCAAAAGACTAACCTATTAGGTGGAGGGACTTCCCCTCTTTATAAGCCTAGGACCTCCCCAATACGCTTTTGATGTTGGATTGGTTACATTCTCTCCCACCCAATCCTATGACGCCCTTGTTACAGGCGGGGCCCTCTTGCCTTCTCGCCCACTTCACTCTTATGTGGACCCATAATCACATGTGGACGCCCCTGCGTGGGTGCTTGGTGGGACATTAAAAGACAGATCAGGTCTGTTATTATACCACTGGTCACGGGTTAAGAGTTTCACACCTAAAAGGCTAACTTATTAGGTGGAGAGACTTCCCCCATTCATAAGCTCAGGACCTCCCTAATACGCTTTCGATGTGGGATTGACTAGTTATGCACAAGTTGGAGTTTGCTTTTACGTTTCACGCAAATGTTTATAACCCAAAACACGTTTACTTAATTAGAGTGACACATACTTTATAATTAGAATTACAGATTCATTCACTAATGATATAGGATGTGACATAAATAGTAAATGGAAAAAATTACGATTTTTGATACGACAAAGTTTAACTGAATTTTCGAATTTAATTGTATACGACACTAGTAAACCATTTACTAATATTGATCATCCAAGTCCATATTTAAGGTTTGCATGAGAAACGGACTAATTATGTGTACAAATTTATAGTAGATTATACCCAAAAACAAGTAGTAAAAGGAAAAAATGATACAGGATGTGACATAAATAGTAAAAGGAAAAAAATTACGATTTTTGATACAACAAAGTTTAACTGAATTTTCGAATTTGATTGTATACGACACTAGTAAACCATTTACTAATATTGATCATCCAAGTCCATATTTAAGGTTTGCATGAGAAACGGACTAATTACGTGTACCAATTTATAGTAGATTATACCCAAAAACAAATAGCTTAAACAATAGAAGAAAACAACCAAGTAAAGATAAACTGACGCTAATAGCTCAGCAGGATTCATGGCGATAAAGACGAATTGGGAGTCTTTTGGCCGGCCTTAAGATTGGATCCCTTATCATTTCCTCATCCGGGATCACCTTCTCCCACCTAAATCTTTTAACCAAATAATGAATGAACACAAGTATTTGTAATCGAGCATACTCTCTTCCAGGACAAATATGAGCTCCTCCTCCAAATGGAACATATGAATAAGGAACTATCTTGTTTTCATGGAATCTTGATGGGTCAAATTTATCTGGCTCTGGAAAATACTTTGCATTTTTATGTGTGCCGTGTACTGCCCGATGTAACTGTGAAAGCACGACGAAAAATTAAGATGGTCAGCAACATAATTTAGAAAATCAAAAACATTTGTTGTTGGTAGTTTTGTAGAAGGAGAAATCAATGTATGTGCATTTGACCAATGAGAAGTGTATTCATAATAAACTTTTTGTGTTAATTAGTGTTTACATTGATATTTTCATTTTTGACATTAGTAAATTAATTTTGTATTTTAACTCTTGGATTATATATATATATATATATATATATATAAAGTTGAACTTCTACTTCCTTATTTAAGCTTTTAAGTGGAATGACAACTTAATATTAACAATTCTTTACGTGGAAAATTTCAAGTTTAGAGTTTGCAAAAATACATTAGATATATGTATTTATCATTTAAGATTAGTTGAGTATATTTATGCTATTCATTACCTTCCATCCCTTGGGAATTAGAAATCCGTCAAAGCTGAAGTCGGTAATGGCCTCTCTGAAAGGTCCAGCAATTGTTGGTTGCAACCTTAACACTTCACTTACAACATTCCATGAGTAGCTCATCTTTTTTATATCCTCCAAATTCAAAGCTTCTTCTTGTCCTCTACAATTTGCTATCTTCATTTGCTCTTTTGTATTCAATCGGATAATTGGTTTGAGTATCATCCCAAAAAAGAGAGAGAATATTGTTAGATTCAGAAGTCAATGATGAAACACAACTCTCTTTTTTTGTTTTTTTTATTTTTTTATTTTTATTAATTCATGTTTGTATGAAGTATAATATAATTCTACGGAGATAAACATTAGTAAATTTGGTCAGTTAATTAATGCAAAATTTCTAACTTTTCAATAGAAAACAAGATTTCATAGATTTAGTTTTTTTCCTTGTTCAATTTAGAATCCTTTTAAAAAGTGAAAAAACAAGGAAATGATAAAGGATTGGGTAATACTACATGTACAAAGAACTATACAAAGATTTCTTGTACAAAGTGATGTGTCAGGAGATTAATAGAAGACTGAATATGATGAGTTTGACTTTCTATATTCACTCTTCCATTCATCTCCTACCAGCTCACTTTGTACAAATAGTTTTTGTAAATTTTTTTGTACGTTTAGCATTATTGTAAAGAATAATCTTGACACATACATAAAAAGTATATAATATTAGACATACAAACTCTATATATATACAAACTGATCCAACACAAATATACAAATAAATGTATATGAAAAACTAACTCACTAAATAAATAAGAATAATGCTATAGTACTAACTCACTAAATAAATAAGAATAATGTTATAGTAAAGAGTTATGCCCAATTTTATAAAATAGTTTAGGGTGCGTCTGTTTTATTATTCCCTATCATATTCCCAAAATACATGTTTGTTTAATTATTTGGGAAATACTATTCTATTTTTTAATTCATTTTAGACCCCTCAAGTTTATTAATTTAATTAAACACCCCTAAAAAAGTTTAAAAATTAACAAAAACACCCTCACCCACCCATAGTTACCAGATTCTGACAACCACCGTCGGCGATTGCCAGAATCTATCACAACGGCGTAGAAATGACCGGAATTGGCTAGTAATTCGCTGATCTGGCCTTGTTTGGTTAGATTCACAGTGGATCTGGCTGGAAAAGGTTAGATATGGCTTGTCAACGATAGCCAAATCTGGCATTTTGAGGCAGTCGACGGCCAGATCCACCACGGATCTGGCCGAAAAAGGCCATATCGATGCACGACAGCCTAGATCCGACCGGTCTACAACGTAACGTCATTTTCGGCCAGATTCCGATGGTAGTGGTAGGAATCTGACACTGTGGGTGGGTGAGGGTGTTTTTATCATTTTGCAAAAAAATTATATATTGGGGTGTTTAGTTAAATTAGAAAACGTAAGGGGTTTTTTTTGTTAATTTTTAAATTTTACCTCGTAATACTCACCCTATTCAACTACTCAATATTATTCCCAAAATCCTATCCAAAATAACAAAACAAACCCACCATTATATATTTTGATAATTTTACATCACATCAGTTTATATAAAATAATTTATATACTTTAATAATTTATCTGAAAATAGCGAGAGAGAAAATGTGTAGGGTCACACTATGGTGTCAGCAGGCTATTTGGTCACGTGTTAACAAACAATAGTGTCCTCTTCCATGCAAATTCACAAATTATGCCGACTCAAATTTAACTTTTGTGTCTTCTTTCTTGGAGTCTTGTATTTTGCATATGAAACTCCACTATCAATTTGCTGAACGCCTTGAAAGAAAATTAAACTTAATTGAATTGACATACCTCTGCGGACTTCTTCATAAACTTGAGGCAGCTCAGCAAGATATTTGACAGTGGAAGCTATGGTGGTGCTTGTACTGTCATAAGCAGCAACAATGTACACTAAAATCATGTCGGCGATTTCAGATTCGATCACCTCTTCATTCTCCTTGATTTTCTCCAGAATCAACAAGGACAACAAATCTTTAGATGAATCTAAAGACTTATCAATATTCTCCAGGATTTCAGTCTTCCTCTTCCTAACTATCTCCTCAATCTTCTTTCGAATCCCTCTCGACGCTTTGATTGCTCGGTTAAATTTTGTCCCAGGAATGTTTATAGGCAATGCAAACATCCCACTCATTATGCAATTAAACAATTTCTCAAGCTCTTCAACCGTCGCCGAATCCTGAACGTTTAACATCAATCGAAACGATATCGTCAGAGTATACTTCTTCGCTAGAGAATGGGCAACAACTTCTTTGCAATCAATCCAATGCGTCTGTAAATGCTTTCTTGCAATGGAATCAATTATTCCGACATTTTTTTGCATTGCATCGAGCTGGTTGAATAATGTAGACACATTTTTGCGCATGCTGGCGAGCTCTTGCTTCTTGCTTTCGCTTAATTTATCCAAAACCTCAAAGATTTTGCCGATGTTTCTTGGCCACCAGGGCTTCAAAAGCTTGTTCTCATTCGCGAACATGAATTTATTTGCCTCTGGGCTGCACATGAACACCATTTTTTCGCCGGCATATGAGGTCTTGAAAAGGTTGGAGGAGTATTTCTTTTGCCTCTCAGATATGAATTTTTCAACGCAATTCTTTTTGGCAAGTGAAATATATTCAAGAGTTTCACCAATGAATGGCCAGCCTGTGCTCCCCGGAGGGAGCTCAAGTTTTTGCCTTGTGCGTTTGATTTTTGACTCATAAAAGAGAGAGTAAAGGGTGAAAAGTATGGAGAAAATTGATAAAACTAAGAAAGGGAATACAAGTTCCATAACTTGGTTTCTTTTTGTTGAATTGATTAAATTGTTGAAGACAAAGGGTTGCGTTGGACGATATTTATAGGAGAATTTGAGAGAAAATTTAGGGGCAATTTATTATAGTTGTGTCGAAGATGGTGAGGGTAAACATATATTAGACCAATAGGCTCTCTCACATCAAACTTGGATTTTTTTTTTTTTCATTTTCTTTATCTGGTTTGTATTTGGAGATTCGAACTTGAGATTTTTTACTCTGATACTATGTTAAGTTGTCATCTCACCTAAAAGCTTAAGCTAGTAATAGGTGAGGGCCCAACATATGTTAGACCAATAAACCAATGTTTTAATAATTGGCCCGGGGTGAAACTCAGTATGGCTTGGTCTTGAGTTGATTGGTTGAACAGGTCTAACCGATGGGTCAAACCGGTGACGTCAATATGTCCAGAGGTTTGAAATCCAACAAACACACCCCTTATGATATAGCCAAACACAAATTGGCAGTCGACGTTGGCGGTGGCGATACACCAAATGCAAATCACACTCAACCTCTGAGCCATTCCCTAGGAAATTTGCCCAAGATCTAATCGAAATCAAACGATTTTCCACAAAAAATCACCACCGTGTGCGATTGCCAACCCAGGTCAAATAGGCATGTTTCCGACATCGACAACTGCCCCAATCACCACTAAAACATTCCCCTCAACCTCTTGACCAAAACCCATCTCAACAACACCCCCCAGTTCGCCTCGTCAATTGCTGGCAACAACACTGTTGTGGCCACTAACTTTTGCCTTTTTTGGTTATTTCACTCATCAGAAATCACCTCCATCGCCAAATTTTGACTCATAGGCATTTCCTCTCTAAAATCCCCAACAACCTCGTTATCCTTTGCTCACCAGTTGCCGCCCTCCTCTCCAGGGTTTGCTTCTTCGTGAATTTGCAGTTTTAAATAGTGGACAAGGGTGACTTGGCCCGATAAAGGTCTTGGATCCCATTCCGATTGGTTAGGTTTTAAAATATTGTTATAAACTTAAAATGAAGGAAGTTTAGTACTGGTCCTTGTATGCATTTGTTTTGCTTATCCAAGAGGAGAAATTTCGTTAATTAATTTCTTAAGTATGATTGTAAATTTGTAATATAAGATGAGGATTAAAGAATGAAATATACATGTTTCGATTAGGATGAATGGTCATTTTTCTTAATAAAACCAACATTACTTTAAAATAATAATAATAATAATAATAATAAACGTTTTACGTTTTAATCATGAGAGCCGGCTCCGGCATAAAGCAAGAGCTGTGAGATAGTCGCCTAATTTGGTTCCATTTTGTGTTTTACTGAGGCCCCACGAGATTTTATATTACATTAACAATCGTTATATATTTTCGTTTATAAAATAAAAAATAAAATTCCCATATGGATTATCTTAAAGTATTAATTTAAAGGTTACTTAACCTTATTTTCCTAGTCTTCATGAAAAAAAAAAATTGGTGAAATTTTTTACTGTTTAATTAAGGAATCAATCTTCTTATATATCTATTAGTTTTCTCTGCAATAATAAATTTTGTACTGATTTTACTATTTTTTTTCTTAGTAACTTAATTATCTATGAATCTATGTTACTTTTTATTCTTATGTCTCACTCCAGCCATAAATACTATTAATTAAATCTCAATATTGCAGTGTTTGGATAATTGAAAATTACCCCACACACACACACACACACAAAAAAATAAAAAATAAAAAGATCTTTCCAGCAACCGGCATCAACAGCCAGTTGGTTACTGCATGCATGTGTTATACTGTTATATATGCCATTTATCTTTAACTAATTAAGTTGACTGCGTCAACTCTTTTTACTAGTAATCTTTGGAATTTTATGAGGTATTCGGCCTCCCTTCAAGTTGCTAATCAATCCATTAAAAAAATTTTAAATAGGGTATTTAGTTTTTCTATATGCATAATTTCTCTTTAAGGTTGAATAATGTCGTAGTCTCCTCTTTTTCCCAATTGGGATTATCTTTTAATCTGAATAATAATAAATAAATTAAGTCATGTTCTGACAGAGTCTAGCAATCCAAACGCATAGATTAGTAGCAATAAGAATGAATGCACATATTTTTTTAGAAACCTAACTAATATGAATTAAATGTTATCCTTCATGGAACACGTGTGCTTCTAGATTTAAAAAAAAAAAAAAAAAAATAGTTTGAATAAAACAAAATCGATATTTCAGTATCTTTTAAGCGAAGAAAAGGATCCTCTTCACATTTTTGGTCCAAATGCGTAACATATGCATGCATAATTTCCCTTTCAACTGCCTACTTATCAAACTCAGCCGAAGCTTCTTCTTTCTACATATTATGTTTAATTTTCTCGTTCAAAACAAATTGAAAGAACGTATTATTTGTTTTCTCTCTGAAATTCACACTTTGTGGGATTCATGACGCTTGTTTACTTGGGTAACTTCCTTATATTTGGTGGTTGGTCTTCGTGACATATATAATCTCAAGCTTCTAGATTACTTAATAGCGAGACTCGAGAATCTGACACTAATTCACAATCATCTATCAATTTCTATCAAATAGTTTATATTTGATATGTTAGGATAGATATTAATTGCATGGGTCAAAAATTGTATTGAACTTTGTTAGACCCAATAACGAAAATATATTAGATGTGGCCCAATACCTTAACCCAATTCTAGTTGAGTCTATGCTTAAATCCTTATTATGGATTGACTATCCAATGGGATGACCCATCTTGTAAGGAGATCCATTATATGGGTTGACTCATTCTACGAGCTGAACCATACCACGAGTTAGCCCTCTCCACAAGCTAGGTTAGTTTACGAGTTGGGTCTTTCTACCAGCAGAGCCACCCTACAAACTAGGCCAATTTATGCTTTGGATCACTCCATGAGGTGGGTTTTTATACAAGATTAAGCTAAATTGGGCTCCAGTCCATTAGCCCATATTCATTCCAAAATAGGAATTATAATTCTATTTACTTCCTAATTCATCCAAGATCTGTAATCTTACATGAATTAATATTCCTTCTTCTACATGGATAATCATTATGACTTTTCTATTTAAGAGTTTCCTTAAACTAGAACTCAGAATTCTACTAGGACTCAAGCCTCCGTGTCTCACTATATAAACAGGGGTCAAACCTCTCATTATTCATTCATAAATAGCCTTTCCTATTTAGTGAAACTCCTAAAGAGTTCTACTAGGACTCAAACCTCCGTGGCTCACTCTATAAACATAGGTCAAACCTCTCATTATTCATTCACATATAGCCTTTAGCTTTAACTCTCAAAGTTCTTGCTCCTAAGAACCGCCGCCTCTCCCGTCATAAAGTTTAATTCCTACTAACTTTACCTCCCTTAGCCATCGTAAAGCCATGCTCCAGCCACTTTACGAGATTCTCGCCCTAGCCACATTATTACGATGAACCCTTCCAACTCTCAACCCTCACTAAAATACTTTTATCTGACTTGAGTGTCAGATTGCTTACGGCAGATACCACACTGGTGTTCCTCGAGCTTTCACGTTCATTCTTTTTGTCTCTACAAGTTTACATTATTATTAGTGGCTCATTCCTCACAAGATCTGTCCTTTCCGAATCAACTATAGATTTTACTACCTACATTAGTTATTTTTAACTTCCTTCTTATCACCGTTACAAGATTGACACCCATAAATCAATCTTCTGAATTACATAATAAAGTAAATATAAAACAAGCAAACAAACAAATAAACAAACAAAGAAAGGTATCACTAGAGTTGAAAGCTTCTTAATTTGTCCCATTTAACTTAATCAGAGTCCGATTCATGAACTTGAAAATATTGAGCTGACTTACACAATTTGTGAGGCAAGGAAGTTTATGCTTTCACGATGACAAGACAGCAGCTTGTCGATTTTGCAGAATTTTGTATATGCCTTTGTCAATCACGTGATGATGTTATGTTACATGGATTTCATCATCTAGTGAACCAACGAATTGATGTAACATTAATTGTATATAAAGACTTGAGATAGAAATGCCGGTCCTTTGAGTTAATGTAAATTCTAATTTGTTCTTTTATACAAATATAGTAATTGATTCGTGAAATTAAATTAATTATGCAAAGAACTAAACTGTACAATACTGGAATCAATGAATGACGATTATTAAAGATTCTGATCTCCCCAATTAATTAAATGCTATGTATATATATGGATTCCAAACTATCTAACAGTACAAGATATTATTATTAAT